AGTTCTCCTCGGTCCGCTGTTCTCCCGTGTCTTTGCCCGGTCTCCTCTGTCCGCTGCTCCTCCCGTGTCGTGTCTCCTCTGTCCGCTGTTCCTCCCGTACCTTTGCCGCGCGTCCCCCACCACCGTTGCGTGCCCGCTGCGGCCGCGGCCGCGCGGTGACCTGACCTGCCGCCGACCGTCGCCAGCTACTGCGCCGAGCCCGGCAGGGCGCCGTACGAGTGGCCCGACGACATCACCAAGTGGCCCATCTGTCGCAAGGCGTCGGCTGCCCCCGGTCAGTGCGCCCGCCGCCGCCGCCGGCTGATGTGGTGCCGCCATGCTATGCCACTCGGTGGCATGCTTCTTAAAATGCAGTTTCCTGCTTCTCAGCGCAGTCCCATACTTCACAGTCCGGTTCCGTGCTTCTCAGCACAGTACCGTGCGTCGCGCCTCATTCGCCGCCGAGTGCAGCGTCGCGCCGTCCGTAGTTCCTTTCCATCGTCATGCAGTGCGTGACCAGCTGCAGCGGTCTGGCTGTGCTCTGTAGTTGCCTGCTGGCGGTCGTGCTCGCTGACCTCGGCTTGCGGCCAATGCTAGCGGGCCGCCCCTGACCGCGCCGTCGCCGCCGCGCCGGCAGAGGGCAGAGAGGCGGCCGAGCACATGCTGTGCGAGGTGGTGGGTCACCCGTGCTGCGTGGGCATCCACGGCCTCTGCCAGATCACCACCCGCGAGTACTGCAACTTCGTGCGCGGCTACTTCCACGAGGAGGCGGCGCTGTGTTCGCAGGTGAGGCTGTCGCCGGCGGCGCCGGGGCGCCTCCGTCCGCCGCCCTCGCTCGCTGGGACGTGTTTTTTGGGCCACTGGGCACACCCCGGGGCCAGGATCCTGTTGCGCTGTTTGTGCTTCAGCGCACGCGCCGGGGACGGTGTTCGAGTCGGGGTTAAGGACTGGTTTCGCTCCCTGTCGAGATTGTGGTGCTATCACTAAGTCCGGCACGTGGACTGTCTCACTATCGGTTTTGTTCGGTCTCTCAACCCACCTCATCAAAGCTCACTTTAGCCTCTTCGTATTCATGGCCCGCGGCGGCGTGCGTTCGCGGCGTTCGCGACGGATTCACGGCGCGCGCGTGTTGACGAACGGCCGGCCCGCGCCCTCGCGACAGGTTGTCCTTGCCTGGATGACGTGTGCGGCATGATCCCGTTCTACAACCCGGAGAGGCCCGACCAGTTCTACCGACTGTGGACCTCCATTTTCCTGCACGCCGGGTGAGCGCGAGCGACACCTCCGTGGGGTGGTGTACGTGGGCGGAACGGGCTGCTGTGGCGTAGTCATTTACTCCGTGTCGAAATGAAAGCGCCGTTGAGGCGCCGATCCGTGACGATGCATTGGCGTTGGTCGGCCCTCCTGCTCCGTAACGACGGCGTCCCATCAGCGGCAGAAGCGAAGAGAAAGGGGCTGCGGAGAAGTCGTGGAATAGCGAACCGGTTTATTTGTGGTGTGTGTGTGTGGTTACAGTACGCCCGCGCTAGAGTGCCTGAGCACGCCTCAGTGGTGCTCAGTGGGCGTCATCTGTGCTGCCGTCGTCAGCGGCGCACGGCCTCCGCTGACGCCGGCCGTGCGGCCGCGCTCGCCGCCGGCCGGGGGCGCCGCCGCCGCCCGCCCGTAACGCCCGTCTCTCTCCGGCAGCATCATTCACCTGGTGTTCACCATCCTGATCCAGTTCTTCTTCCTGCGCGACCTGGAGAGATGGCCGGCGCGCTGCGCATCGGCATCATCTACCTGGTGTCGGGCGTGGCGGGCAACCTGGCCTCGGCCATCTTCGTGCCCTACCGCGCCGAGGTAACCACGGGCGGCGGGAGCGCGCGGCCGGTGGGCTCGTGCCGAACGGGGCCCGTGTCGGCGCCCGGGTGAAGGGAGCCGCCGCGCGAGCTGGCGCCACACGCAGTTGTCGCCCCGCTGCGGCTGCGCTGCGGCGGGCAGACTGGACCGCGCGGTCCGTCTTGATCTGATGGAGAGGCTGACGCACGGCGGAAGGGGGGTAGTGATGTGCTGGGATAGGCGAGCTGGTCGGTCTGGATTGTTTGGTGAGGGCGGGAGCGCCATCTTGACAGGCGGCCTTCTGTCCGTTGAGGAGGCCCTGTTTACTAGAGGCTGTTTTAGTCTACCGCAGGAGCCACCATCATAGGAAGATCTGGTCATGATGTGGTTGTTGACAATGTTTGGAGGCATAGGAAGACTCCGGGCTGTACTGTGCTGGGAAACTGGGGTGCTGTACTGTGCTGGGTACTTGGAGTAGGCGTACCCACTTGAACAGAAAACTCGAGTCGTTTTCGTGGGTGCACGTCTGCTAGTGGCGTGCTTGCCTCATCCACACCAGTGGTGTGCATGCCTCGGGTACAGGGGACAACAAGGCTGCTAAGGCAGCATGACCGATCCATGCCATTGCTGCCGCAACCGTAGCGGAGGCTGTCCAGTCGGTGCAGTCGCGTCTGTCCCAGTGACGTCACATCTGTCCCAGTGACGTCACGTGTGACCGCGCTCTGTCGCACCGCCGCAGGTCGGTCCGGCCGGCTCCCAGTTCGGCCTGCTGGCCTGCCACTTCGTGGAGGTGATCAACGTGTGGCCAATGCTGCAGCGGCCGTGGCGGGCGCTGCTACGCCTGGGCGGCCTCACCATGGTCCTCTTCCTCATCGGTTTGCTGCCCTGGGTAAGTGGTGTGTGTCCTTTTCCTCATCGGTTTGCTGCTCTGGGTGAGTGCTGTGTGTCCTTTTCCTCGTCGGTCGGTTGCCCTGGGTTAGAGATGTGTGTCCTCTTCCTCATCGGTCTGCTGCCCTGGTAATAGATGTGTCCTTTTCCTCATCGGTTTTCTGCTCGAGGATGTTGCCCCGGTGTATGTTCCATCCCAGGACATTAGTGCTGCTCGTACGGCTCGGCCTTCTCTGCTCGCGGCCTTGCCCGCACTGAACGGCAGAAACCGATGCCGAAGTCACGAACGACCTGACCGGCTGTGACGCGTCACTGTCCGCCGACTGCGAGGACCAAGCCTGGCGCTTACCCGACCACATCGCGTGACACTTCCGGAGTCCGTGTCGCCACGTGGGCCGCCTTCCAAGGCCGTGCGTCGTCCGTCTGCTGCTCCCTGAACAGTGACCGACCGCCTGTGCCCGACAGGTGGACAACTACGCGCACATCTTCGGCTTCATCGTCGGCTTCCTGCTGTCGTACGCGCTGCTGCCGTACGTCAGCTTCGGCCCGTACGACAGGGCGCGCAAGAAGGTGCTGATCGCCGTGTGCGTCACCACCGTGACGTTGCTGGTGCTCTTCCTGCTCGTGCTCTTCTACGTGACCGCCGTTCTACGAGTGTCCCGTCTGCGAGTATCTCAACTGCCTGCCGCTGACGCGGGACTTCTGCGCCGAGCAGAACATCAACTTCGACCGGCGGACCGAGTTGTGATGAGCGGGCACCGCCGGCAGTCCGCGGCGCGCGACCGGCCGTAGTGGAGCGGCGCCGCCCGCCGCCGGGCGTCGGGCGCCGGGCGGCGGCGGCGCGGTGTGGTGCGGTGTGATGCATCGGCGAGAGGGGCTGGAGGTGCGCGCGGCCGGTTGGTCGCAGGAGGCGGCCGCGTTCTCGCGCAGCTGGCCACGGTTGGTGCCTGGACGGAGTGTGCACGTCTGCTGGAGCGCGAGGGGCGGCGCGCGCGTGCGCGGGCGTGTGGCGGTGTGCGGCAGCGTGCCCGAGGCGGCCGGCGCCGTGCTGCTGTGCGGCTCCTCTGCAGCTCGGACCGAGCTCGGGGCCTGGTCAGGCTGCCCACTCGTCGGTCCGGCCGGCCGTAGCGGCCCGGCTCCACCCCACCGAGCGCTGGCCTGGCTCCACCTGCCGGCGGCGGCCGCTCGAGCCCGCCGTGGCGACGTCGGCCGGAGGCAGTCCGCCGGAGTCCTCAGCTGCGCCGCCCGGGCCTGACTCCGGCCGACTCCTGATGGGGAGTCGGGCTCAGGCGCCGGTGAAGAGGAGCGGCTTCGGAGGAGGCTGGTCGGAGCGGATAAACCAAATTGAACTTGTTTCAGGCTTTCTGGCAGCCAAAGAGCAATTGACCCCGTTGTTTTTTGACCGTGCGTCCTGTTCAAACGGCATTTGGATGACTTGTGTGGAGGATATCTTTGTATGCTCAAACGGTTGTCGGGAGCCGGTCTCTGGTGCCCGAAAACGTCGATGGTTTAGCTCTATGGAACACTGCCCGTTAGTCTCGTGTTGCGACCAGTCTGGCGAGAGAATGCGCCAGATGTGTGATCCGCAACAGCCTACAGCCCGATATCGTGGTCCCGCACTCAAGACGGGACTGACCGCGACATGGAAACGTTCGCTAGCGAAGTGGCGAGAAACTCGGTATTTCGGTTATGTGGTTACCCACATACCCATTGAAAACTAGGCTCGTGCCGGAACAAAGCGCATCGGGTGCTGTGTCAAGCTTGATTTGCTTGTAAGATTAGTTGTCTGTAATCACGCCGCCTGCATCCGCTCCCAGATGTTTTGTGGGAGCGGCGCCCCAAATAAGTTTGAGGCTTGAAAATGATGTGTTGGTAGTGTCCCTGCTAGATAGTCTTTTCAGTCTGTAGTGCAGTTCGTTAAGCTAGTTATGGCAAGGCCTGAATTACAGGCGTGGATGTTGTTTAAGTTAGTTTTGGCACGTTTGCCTTAGTCACGGGCGTGAGCTAGAACGTCGCGTTTTATGATTTACTTGCACTTTATTTTATTTAAAATGTGTTGCTCCGCTATGTTCAGGATTTCTTCAGGATTGTGCTTCTATATATCCTCCGCCATTCGGGGCCTGTTGATCGAAGACAAGTTTCCAAATCCAGGGCATTACGATTGTGCAAACGGTTGGCGAGTGCGCTCAGCTCGGACGGCAGTTGATACTCAATACTCGTGCACCGTCTGATGACAGGGGGGAGGGGAGGGGGGGGGGCGTCGGCTGATTTCGAACGTGATTCGCGGCGCCCGCCGGCCGCCCGTGTCTGGGCCTGTCTGTGTCTGCGATTGTCTGCGTGTCTGCCGGCCGGGGTCGCGGTGACGCCGGGTCGGCGTGGCCGCGCGCTGTCGGCGGCGTCTGGCGCCGCCGCGTCACCTCCCCGCCCACGTGAGGGTTCGGGGCGGCGCGGGCGCCCTCGGGCGTGGCGGCGCGCGCGCGGTGCGGGGCCGGTCGTTTTATATCCGATGTGCTGTCTTGTCCTCTGAGCCGGTGTGATGTCAGCTTCTGAGGATACACCTGACCACCAATGGCGGCTGTTTGGACGGCGCACGTCTCGGGCAAGAGCTCCAGTTACGGGCGGGCGAAGTGCAGACACCGCCACACGGTCATCGCGTGTATATGGTAACGTATCACAGACAGGAGGTATATACTGACTAGTCGTGTCCGGCCCGCGAGATCCGCACGGCGTTAGCGGCCGGGTACCACACTGGGGCTTTCATAGTTCGCTCCCTGTGGGCCATGACACACCACAATGCTCAAGGGTACACAGACTTGCTGAGTGTGAACTGGACTGGACCCACTGAGCAGCCCCTATTCGGACCTGGCCGGGCCGATAAGTGCACGGTAATCGACTGTTCGATGGGCCATCTATCTAGTGCTCATGGTTCACGAGGGGTCCCAAACACGTCCATAGCGTCGCCATAAATTGACCCGCAAGTTGATTCTACGTCGGTCGCCGGCAGCAGACGAGACGTTGCCGTTGCGGACGACACGGCACTAGAACTTCGGCAGCGTGCCGCCGGATGTCGCCACCGTCCGCTGGCCTTGCGCCATGTCCCCGGCTCGGACGTCCCGCAGCTTCAAAGCTGCTTCCCAGGCATGAGAGGACATGCCGAGAAAGGCAAACACCTGAAATAGAAACACTCGTCATCCTGTCACACAGCACCACAAAAAACCTTATAAACGTTACCAAGAGAGTGCAGCAGTCGAGTAAATGAGATCTGTCTGCCGCCAGTTCAAATCCAGAAAACCCTCAGCTCAGCGAGGCTTCAGGGGGGGGGGGGGGGGGAGGAGGGGCGTACAATCTGTCATCAGGTCAGGTGCAGGCAGGGAGGTGGCAGCCATTGTCAGTCAGTGTGGTGGAGATGGGGGCGGAAGGGAAGAGAGCTAGGCACACTTACCGTGGCAGCGGCCCACGACGGCGTTCCACTGAACGAGGCTGAGAGGGCAGCGGCCAGCAGGTACAGTGCAGCCCAGCAGCAGCTGAAGGCCAGCTCCTGCAAGTGGATCAGCATGTGGCATCAGCTGACTGAACACTGGCCTCCAGTGGTGATCCCACAGAGGGGAGGGGGCAGCAGCAGCTGGGGGGTGCCCCCGCCAAACATCCAAAAATAAAACTTTCCTTATCAAGATCTATCCCCCTAAGACCCACCACTAGGATCAGCTGCTGCTGGCGGCACCGAGGCTCAGCTGATAAGCGGTTCCTTAACTGTTTGGCAGTTCCTCACCAGATGGCAGAGCAGGTGCCAGCAGACAGTATTGGTAGACCCTGACTGTCACTGCAGATGACATTTCTGACCAAGGCAGATGCAGACTGCCATGCAGGTTTTCTGTTCCATCAGTCCTACTTACAATCTGCAAGCATGGTAGGAAGTGCAGCTTTTCCACCATGTGGAAGGAGTAGCAGACCAGCATGATGAGTGAACTCCAGAAGCTGATGAGGCAGACAAAGTAGTACCATGTTGCCACTGGATGATAGCTCAGGTCTGAGATGGTGATGCAGAGAAAGCCACAGAGACCAAGAACCTGAGGGAAGTCATGACCCAGCATGTTGAAACACATGCAGCATTTGTGGTTTGAGGAGGAAAACAACAATGTAGGTTTAATGTTCACAGATTATTGTTGAATCATAGTTGCATTTGATTTAATTCCAATAACTTGGATCTACTTAGTGATTTGTCGCACCCAGTGCCAGCATACTTTAAATGTGGTGACACCAGGGTTGGAGACAGCTATGGACCATTGGTGGTGCAAATAGCTTGCAGAATGAGCATCCTTAAATGATAAAATGTAAAAAAACAGGCAAACTTCAATGAAAGCTGGGGTGGATAGTGACCCACTTAACTTTCATCCTGCGTTGCTTACCATCTGTCCCACAACACATGCATGATGAAAATCAATAAAATATCCTCAACCACACTTAATTGTATGTGAAAACAGCAATAATCTGCTGCCACATGACTCTGAATCCATGCCACAAATAGTAAATCTTCTGAGGTAATGGGGAAAGTACTACCCTTTCCACTTTCTTTCAATGGAACACCATTGCCAGGTGGGGCCCACAAATCAAATCAGGCAAACCCTCTACTGTCAGTAGGCCCCAAACCATCATCCAATGGTCAGTATAGGTGCCCCACCCAACAGAAATTGTGGGGACATGGGATGGACTGGGTTGGTGTCTCTTAGTACCATCTTTCTATTAAATTATGACCATCAACCAGCCTGGGATCCATCATGCAGTGGATCACCTCAGTGGTCAGAGCATTCCAGTCAATTACAACCCCTTCCTGCAATTACCTCATCTAACATACAAGACTGATCTGGGTCCATACAGTCCCCCACCATTGATCCCTTGCGACGATCTCAGCCGTCATGAAGAACTCATTTGTCCAAGATCTTCCCTCCCATTAATGTTCTGGTATATCACAATTGTGTCATCATGGCATCTCCTGCAGTAGAGGGACAGTAAGCTCAGCAAAGAAAGCCAAATAGGCTCAGGCTGCAGCTTCCATTTGATGCCTGCAGCTGCTGGTTAGTCTGGTCTAGAGCTGACCATGAAACACAGGTACCCACCATCTGCATAATCTTCAGAATGCCTCCAACAGTAAATATATATTCTTTGTGGAGCCTCAACCCCGCAACCACTTTGGTTGTTGTTGCAGTAACACATGGAGCACTTTCAAACATGCTTCCACTGTCTTGCACCGATCATCAACTCGTCAGGCGCCGAGCCAAGCTGTGGCACAAGCTTCGCCGATGGCAAATTTAGGGGAAAAATCGTTCACAGCTTCAATGAGCGCTCCGCCCCCGTATACGAAACGACGCAGTACAACGCGCTTTCAAGACCTCTCGCCTTCACACTCGACCTCATCCCCCCAACCCGCACCCTCAACCCACTACCACAACTGAATATCAAAACATGAACGCTACCGCTGCACCCGCGCTCTCCGTCGCCGCCGAGGCTATCTAACGTCGCTATTCGGCGTCAAATACGTCGCCATCGCTAACCTACGGCTTTCATTACAATTTCCGTGCCCGTACATCTGTTCACTACAAACTTGCGAGCCAAAAACTTTTCTGTTTGACCAATCATTTAGCAGTATTGGATTTTTAGACCGATTGTGCTGCCGATTAGACCAATTGGAGTTTTTTGCTAACTTCAATCGATATCATTGAATGTAAGAGTCGTCTTCGCCGCCGATCGTGTGAAATTTGCACTCGGTTGTCAATACCGCGTGCGGCCGGTGGTGTGTGGTAGGTGGGTGCGTATTTGTGGTGTATTGTATGACATGTTGCGTTGTAGCTATCGTTCCCGCTCGTATATGGTACTTATTCGCTGAAACAAGCACTTAAATCATAAAATTAGAAATCCTGAACTCAACTGGAAGTGAAGCATTTTGATGTTGGGTAGGCGCCTGGTGCATTGTATGTATTTTTTTCAGACTGGACTGTTAGTGTGCCTGTCCGAGTTGGATGTTTCAGTTGGCATCTGGTGCAGAGGCTCAACTTGCATTCTTTTATGGGAGATATACCCATTCCTAGGTTGATTTTCCATTGCCCACTTAGATTTAATGTTTGCTTGGGCTTCCAACATTTTTGGTCAAAATATGGCAAGTCTATGGAACACCCAATATCACAGGAAGCCTGCCTTTGGGGATTATGTGATGCCATGACCATGACACCAGGCTACCTATGTGTAGGTGTGTTTGACAGTTCATTCTGTTGAACTCAAGTTCAGAAAGCCAAATTAAGTTCTAGACAAGCTAGGAGGTTGTTTTGGTTCTCTCTTTGCTGTTGGGTTCTCATCTCTTGTTCAGCAAATCCTGGCTAAATCATTTGCTTGAATGATGCTAATAATATGCAGACTAGGATCAAACAGACAGGATTAAAAGAGCCAACATGAAATCTAGAGATGGGAAGAACTCAACCAACAATGGTATTTTTTAAAAGAATGCTCTGTGAAATGCACTATTTGGGAAAATTGATAGCTTAACTTTTCTTCTTAGGAAAAGTAGAATGGACATTTCCCTTCATGATTTGTGTACTTGTAAATGTCATGTGAAGGTAGCTGATGACATGAGTTATAGTTTTCAGTCCACCTTCAGCACATTGCAAGTTTTGCTGTGCTTAGGACAATGGGAAAAGTTTGACATGCATGGTTGGAGAAAGTCATGTAGTGTGCTGTCAAAATGCAGTCTGACATTTGTAAATTACTTATACAAAATGTGAGAGAAATTCAGACTAGTCCAGATGAGCATAGACATGTACAGACAAGCCCAGCCTGGTCAAGTCCACTCTGACCCTATCAGGTCTTGTGTTGCACTTCTGAGCATTGGCAGCTTATGACCAGTGATCTACATTTTGTCAAGACCAAGTGATGTCATATAGTCAAAATTTTGGTTGTTGCATAGATCAGGAGCACAGAGGTTACATTGTTAAAGGTGTGCACAATTGTAGTCAAGTTTGGGGACTGGTATGTGTGTGTGATGTCAGTATATACCACTTTGAGCATGATTACTCATAGTGGCATGGGCCATTCCTCAGTACCCATATTGTAGCAGTTTTCAAGTGGGGATCCATCTAAAAAGGAGACTGAAATCATACACCAGTGATATTCCATTGCAATCTGGTATGCTTTCTTCTCTTCCTGAGGTAAAGAAATGAAGTGCTATTTCCTCACAGTGCAGTTTTCATTTTTCCCACAGTGGTGCAGAAAATGTTTTAGCTTACCTAGTTATAGGTCTGGACTGCTGCACCTGCCTGCAAAGTATTGGGAATGTGAACATGAAACAAGGGTCAGCATTAGTGACAGATGCTCAGGGTCCTAGCCTGAATAATATCTCACCACAGTGAGGTGCAGTTTGCAGGGTGGATGGTGTGCATCCCACAGGCATCAAGGGTCATTGGTCATTATATAGTGCCCTCAGTCATGGCTTCAACTAGTAGTCATGTTGTGGCCAGTTATGTACTGTTTGTTAATTTGATCATCCTGTATGGTCATGCATATAGAATATGTCTGAGGTCATGGGTGATTTTTAGTCCCAGCTCCTTTCAAAGCCCAAGTTTTCACCTACTCTCAAAGCAGTGTGGTGTAGCATGCCCTGACACTCATGCCTCACTTGCCTTCTGCTGGGTATTTTGTTTTACTTGCCAAATAGTGGATTTGGAAGCCTGCTGGCCTCAGTTGACAGCCTCCCCATGTTTCCAGCTGTCACCTCAAGACACAGCCACAATGAACACGGGGGTGTGCAGTGGGGATATCATGATCCTGGCGGGTAATTCCCACCCGACCCTGGCCCAGCTTATCGCCGAGTAAGTGCTGCTCCTTGAAATACTTTGTGAGCCTAGGGATTTTCTTGGACATGGTGTGCCTTGTGATTACAGTGGCTCACATCAGTGTGTTCCACCAAGTGAAATGTTTTCTTATAAATGGCTGAGCAGTTGAATGCAGTATGGAATAAGCTATTTGCTCTGTGGTGTGTGACTTGCTGTCATGTGGTGCATCTTTTTAATGTGTATCAGGCACCATACTTGGTGCATCCTATGCTGGTATGCAGTTTGTCACTTGTGCTGCAGGTGTGTGTGTGTGTGTGTGGTTCTCGAACCTTGCCCACACAGTTGCGTGTTCAGCTCAGCCATTCCTGTGCTATCCTGCCCTGTTCAGACATGTGGTTGTGTCTTGCATGACATATATTTTTGTGCATTTTGTTAGACAGACCATTGTGTGAACATCTTTCATTGCCAAACAAATCTCCAAAAAGTTCGAGGAAGGGTAGGAACAACTTTCGCCACCTTTGTTTTCTGTGCAATCTGTGCTGTATCATGTGATATAAGGCCAACACCAAGCTTTCCTGAATGGTGGGTGGGGATTGGGGGGTTGGGCACCTCTCCCTCCGTCCCACTCGGCATTTCTCCAGCTGTAACGTCACTCTCGGCGGCTGGGTGACGGCGGGGCGCTGTGGGCGCGCATCTGAAGCCTGTGCCCACCCCCCTCCCGCCTACTGAACAGCGTGTCAGCGACGCCGCCGACCCGCTGCCGCTGACCGAGGTGCAACGTTGGCCTGACGGAGCCCCGGGCAGTGGCTGCCGATGGGCACAGCGAGCTGACGCGTCTGCGCTCGGCGGCGCGGGTGGTCACGGCTGCGGCCGGCGTGTGCTGGCGTGATGGGGTCAGGTCACGGCGTCCCCCCCCCCCGGCGGTGACCTCCGCGGCGGCGCCCCCCCCCCCCCTCCAGGCAGGGCTAGGATCCCGTCCCACCAGGGATCCTACCCTGGGGATCCCTAGTGGGACCTGGCGAGGGCCCACCAGCTGTCCGCTCTAAAGCTATCCCCCATTGCTGACGTGCAGGATATACGACGGCCCTGCCATTGATTTTCTGATGGCTCGCGGGGCGCATGTTGTAGCTGGATATGATGGCTGCATCACTGGAATGGGTATGGTGGAATGGGGATAGTATGGTGGAATGGTGTAACTGGTATGACGCTGGGTAGCAACCGGATGACAGTGGGTTTATGGCGGGTAGCGGAAAAGCGCGGGATGTGGTGGATGAGTCACTATGGTGCCACTGGCAGGTGGCAGTTTGGTGGGTGCTCTAAAACGCAAGAACTGTTCTTGTACCGTGAGAACGAGGTGGCTCTAAAACGTGAACACTAGGTGGTTTTATGACTTGAGGACTGGAGGGGCGAGGAGAGGGGGGGGGGGGGGGGTGTATAGCACGAGAACCAGGGGGCGCCATAACCCGAGGGCTTGGCGGCTCTGTAATCTGGTGGCTCCATAATCCGAGGGGTGGGTGGCTCTTTAACCGAAGGGCTGGGTGGTGGCTCCCTAATCCGAGGGCTGGGTGGCAGTACGACGCGAGAACCGGGGTTCTTTAGCGCAAGTACATGCCTCCCTCGCTGCCGGGATCCCGTCAACTGTGTCCGGAGATCCTCGCTGGCGGGATCCCGTCAGCTGTGTCCGGAGATCCTCGCTGCCGGGATCCCGGTAGCTTTGGCCGCCGGCGCTGACCGCGACTGGGCGCTGACTGCGTGGGCGACCAGTTCTGTGGGAGTCAGGGCGTGTCAGAGCTCCGTGACTCGTGAGCTCCGACACGGCACGGAACTGCGCGTGTTCATTGAGATGACCTGTGACTTCGCTTTGATCCGTGCTGACCTTGGTGGTGTTAAGCCCGTGGGACACGACCTCCCGCGCAGATGCAGGCGCAGGTGCGTATCCGGTGCTGTTTGCCACGGTGTCAGTGACCTCCCGTCTGTCGTATGCTATCGTATGCCTTCCGGATGTCTCGTCTGTCGTGACCGTGAGCGCCCGCGTGCTGACGGCGACCTCCGTGGTGACCCGCTGACCTGTTGATGACTCGGTGACCTGACCGGGCGGCGCGCGGTGCTGCAGCCGACTCGGTGTGCGGCTAGGCGCCTGCGTTGTGTACCAGAAAACCGACAAAGAGACTATGGTCGAGATCCAGGAGTCGGTGCGCTCTCGCACGGTGTATATTCTGCAGACGGGCAGCAAGTGAGTGCTGCCGCCCGCCCGCCGACCCGGCGGCCGGCCCCCGCCGCCGCCGCCGCCGCCGCCGCACCCCCTCCCCCGTCCGGGGCGCTCGCCGCAGCCGGCGCGGGACGGAGCCGGCGAGCGCGCGGCCGCCTCTGGCGACGAGCGCTCGCAGTCAGAGCGCCGTCGGTGACCGTTTGTGCTGAGTAGTTCTGATGCGCCGATGGCGTTGTTTTGGTGCCGGTGCTCGGTTGCTCCGAGACGATTTTCTTGCCGCTCTGACGAGTACTGAATCTAAACAGTAAGCGATTTAGTTGAGCTGTTGGCTTTGACAGGCTCGATCGCACAGCGACCGTTTTTCCTGCCGCGACAGACACCAAATCTGAACGTCAAGCGCTTCAGTTGAAGCAGCTAAGGTTAAATGGAGGTCATTTAAGGTTGTTGAGTCGATCAACGGTCACTGGGTGCGCGGGCGAGCCCGGCGGACGTGGGAGAGTCGGCGCAGCGGCAGCGGCGGCGGGCCGCGCCCGGGACTCCGGCCCCCGGCCGGGTCGGCGCGGCCGCGGCCAGCGTGCGGTGCTCTGGGTAGCAGTGTGTCGGTTCCGTTGTGCATGCCGTTCGCTTGCGTCTCCGCTCTCTGCCCGGCCGCCGGCGGCGGCGGCGCTCTGCCGCGCGCTGGCCGGGCGGCGGGCAGAGGGCGGGCGACGCGGCAGTGTCCGCAGTCACTAATGCACCCGGCCATCCAGTCACCCCTCCTCCCCTCGCGCGCTCTCTCTCTCTCGCTCGCTCTCTACCTCTCTTGCGCGCGCGCTCTTTACTCACCGATCCCCTCTGCCGCCGGCGCACGCTAGAAAGCTGGACCGCAAGCTTGTCGAGGCCCAGATTGGCAAGTTCGCCAACCGCGAGACGCAGCTGGAGATTATGCACTCGCTGCGGGACAGGGACGTGTACATTCTGCAGACGGGAGGAAACATGTAAGCACGTCCGGCTAACTCGCGTTCAGTGGTCTCCGCTCTCCGCTCCCCGTCCACTCCAGTGCTCCACGTTCATTTGACGCTCCAGCGTTATTCACTCCTTCGTGCTCTATTGCCCCCGCCCCTTGCTCCCCTGTGCTTTGATGCTCCTCGCCCTCCCATGGTTCTGTGCTGCCTCCTCCGTGGTTCAGTGCTTCCCGCTTCCCCATCGTGTTCCGGTGTTCCCCGTACCCCGTGATCCAGTGCTCTCCGCTTCCCCGTGTTCAAGTGCTCCCTGTTCCTTCTCTGCCCCGTAATCCGACTTTCCGTGCCTTCCTCCTTGTGTTCCTTGTCTTTTCCTTTCTCCCTCCTCGTCTTGGACCTCCTTCTTTACTCTGTGGTCCATTGTTCTCAGGTCGTGCCGTGCTCTGGTGTTCTCGGCCCTCTAACTGTCGTTTTTTTCGTGACATCACGACCCTCGCCCAAACCGAGATGCCCTCCCTTCCCGATCCCGTGCCCCCCCCCCCCCCCGTCCGAGTGTGAGCGCCTTATCCCCCCCGCGGCTATTCCTTCGCCTCCGATGTGACTCCGTGTCGCTGCCGCGCCTGCGCACCGCCGCGCCGGCGCGCCCTGTCCTGGCCCGCGGGACCTCCTCTCCGTGGCAGCGGGCTGGCTCGGGTCTGCTTCTGTAACGTGCCCGCCGAGCCGCGGCGCCTGCGAGCGAAGTTCTCGTCCTGTGTGGCTTGACATCGCGTCACTTGTGCCGCTTCGTTGGGAGCCGGGCTGCGGGCACCGCGTCGGGGGCACGTAAGCGTCGCCTGTCGAAAAGCGGCATTGCTGGTGGTGGTGTAACGTGGGTTCTTGTAGCCAGCGCGAGGGTTTTCGTCACCAGCTCTGTCGCTTGCCGCGTGATCACGAGTGCATACGATTGTGTACCGTAGTTTTACTCGTGTATCGTAAATTTACTTGTCATTTGTGAATGTAACGGGGCGTTTTTCAAATTAGCAATTGAAAAGGTTGAGTTCACTTCCGTTGGTGACATAGCCGAACCGGCGTTTTGGTGTGCCCAGACGCGTGGTTGTGATTAGATGCAAGTGAGCGTACTTTCTGTCAGCTTCCAGCTTTCAAGCATTGTCTTCGCCGGTCCTTGCTTCCCTGGCCGAAGTTGTTGAGTTGAGTGATCTGCGGAGCAAGCTTCACCGGTATCGCTGCCTCTTTGCTCTAACGTTTCAAACCCGCTTAGCGTGTTTTTCCCGTCGCATTAACGGTTGGTTAGGGCTTTTTGTTTCAACGCAAAATTTTGAGTAAGTCGTAGCCTGTTGGTGGTGCGTTTTTTTATTATCAGCGCCAGTTGTTGCCTGTTGGCTGCAACTAAAAATGTATTCTTCTCCTTTCATGACAAATGGCATTGCTATCATCGCGTCCCCCATATCGACTGAGACCATGGCTCTTGCCTACCGATCTTTGTTTCATTTCTGTTGTAGCTTTTTTTAACCCGGACTCGCACGTGAGCTGCATTCTCACTCTCCTTTATTTCGCGATCTTCTGTCACTGGCATCTTTGCGCCTTCTTTCTGTAGTAGAATGCCTGGTTGAGGCTAGTCTAGAGAGCCTGACTTGACGTGTAGCGCCCTAGGAGCCAGCTTGTGCTCTGCGCCAGATCGGCCCATTGCGCTGCATAGATGTCTACGAACGGTAGCTGTAGTGTAGCCGGATCGGCCCATTGCGCTGCATAGATAGTGTAGAAACGGTAGCTGTAGTGGATTCGCTGCCCGCGCGGTCGCCGTTAGAGCCTGACCTGCCAGATACGACTGCTGGGCGCCCGGTCGTTGACCTTTGACCAGGTCAGGGCGCGGGTCAGCCGCCGGGCCGTACCGGGGCCGGCTCCCCGGAACGTGTGGCCTTTGCGGGCTCGCTGTCGGCCCCTCCGGCCGCCAGCGGTGCCCAGCCCTGACCCAGAGCCAGTGCGTGCACCGACGTGGCGCTTTCGTTGATGGCTCGTGGCTTCATGTCACGCCCCTGGCGCGACTTTGAGTCCGATTTCAAAATTGTGAAGAGCGAAGGTCTCAGACGCTTCAGATCTGAACACACCAGTGTAATGTGAACGACCAATGTCGCCACTGCTGTTTTTTTTTCACTTCGCGGAGCTTCAAGACGCTTCTCGCACAAATGACCCGCGGCTAAAAAATCGTGTTGGTTTTTCTTTTCGGGCACCCCACAAGCCATGCCGTTGCGTGATTCACCTGATCGCCCTGTGGGGCATGCGTTCACTCCTGGTTCACCTTGAGTAGGTCAGTGCCTGGCACCCTGTTGACGACCCAGCCCTCGTCTTCCTGTTGCTTGAACCGGGCCCTCCTCAAGGCTCGAACAGAACGCTTCACGCCCGTGCGGTTGTAAAAGCTCCGCGCTGTTGCTTTGTGTTGCGCGACTGTTAAGTTTCGCATAGAGTCGTGGCAGCCTCGCTAGTTCGCTGTGTTAGTTGGTCGGGCCCCGACAGCCGCTCTCCTCTTGTGACCTGTGACCAGAAGCGCCCTGGCCGGTCGACCTCTGACCTCGCCCCGACGCTAGGGACGTCAACAACTCCATCATGGAGCTGCTGGTCATGGCGTACGCCTGCAAGACGTCGTCGGCGCGCAACATCATCGGCGTTATCCCGTACCTGCCGTACAGCAAGCAGTCCAAGATGCGGAAGCGGGGCTGCATCGTGTCCAAGCTGCTGGCGAAGATGATGTGTGAGTGCCCCGGCGGTCGGTGCGGCTCGCGGTCGGCGGGGATGCCCGCCCCGCGGACGGAACGGCGGCCTGTAGGGTGTGGTGTGTGGTGTTGAGGGACCGGGGGGGGGGGGGGGGGGGGGCTCGTTCCTCCTACTTTTACTCTTAAAGATGAGGCCCCTCGTTTCTCTTAGAGATGAGGCCCCTGATCCGTGGTGTGACGGTGCCACAGGACGGGAGTTCATTTGGACATCCTCCATGCTGAACTCTGAGAGGGTGTTCCGAGGCAGGTTCAAGACCACAGCTCCAGCCCAATTTTATCCGTGTGAAAGTGCGAATTGGAAAGGCGGTTTTGACGCGCATCGCAAATCTGATATCTATGTCGTGACTTTTATTTCATTCGTCCGTGCCCAATGTTGCTGTTTGTAATCCTGTGCTTCACAGCCAGTGCTGTGACCGCGAGTACTGGCATTGCCTGTGTAGGGCCTCCCTCTGAGCCGTTGTGTCCGGCTCCGGCAGGCAAGGCAGGACTAACGCACATCATCACCATGGACCTGCACCAGAAGGAGATCCAGGGCTTCTTCGACTGTCCGGTGGACAATCTGCGCGCCTCGCCGTTTCTGCTGAACTACATCCGGGAACAGGTGAGGGGCGGGGCGAGCGACGCCGTGCGCTCGCACTCTGTGCGCCGTGCCGCTCGGTGGAGGCTGATTGGGACTGCGGGCCGCTTGGCAGTGTGACCTGGCGCGTCGCTGCATCTCTGTGAGAAGTGGATCACGCTGTAACGGGGCCGTCTGAATACGGTCCTTTGATGTTTGTCCTTTGTTTGTTGTCCTTTGTTGTCCCTTATTTGTTGTCCTATGCTTGTTGTCCTTTGATGGGATGAAGATCTTCCTGGATTCGGGCGCCACATGATCAACGTAGTCGGTGCGCCCCAAAGCCCAAATCATCATCGTGGTCATCTTCCTGGATTTGAACCATTCGGGGCCGGCGTGGTGATCTAACTTAGGCCATGATAGTGGCCGCTGCTTGCTGTGAATTCCATTCAGCTTATTGCAGACGCCTGTTGTTGGATATTCAGCTAGGTCTACTAGAAGCCTGCGTGGAAATGTGCAGGCAGCTATGGCCACTTTGTGAATTGCTTGATAGACAGGGTGATAGTGTTGTTTATAACGCCCTAGTTGACTTTGGAAGTATCAAGATGCCTATCCCCCGGCATTTCAATCGTGTAAAATCATGTCCTCGTCATTCTGTGTGTTAAACCGGCACCGGTGGTGAGCTACATATGGGTCTTTGGTGGGAGATGACTGGTTTTTCTTCAAAGCACATGCTGTTTGTTCTTGCATTGTATTTGTACAAGTGTGGGGTGTCCGTCCTTCCACATTGGGAATGCCAGAGAGTGGGCGAGGGCATCCAGGGCTCCGCGGAGGGTCTCCAGACCGCAGGCTTTGACCAGACCTGTTACTTGCGCGTTCGCTCGCTGTTTTGCCGCACTTCAGGCAGAGTCTGAACAGAGTCATAGAGTCAGCCCCTGCCGCGTCCGAACCGCTGTGCCGTGCCGGCCCGCTGAGACCCCCACGGCCGCGTCTCCGACCCTCCCTCAGATTCCTGACTACCGCAACGCCGTGATCGTCGCCAAGGACCCGGCCTCCTGCAAGCGCGCCACGTCTTACGCCGAGCGCCTGCGTCTCGGTACGCCCTCTGACATGGGACCACCGCTGTGGTACAGCCTCTGGTGGCGCGACGACGCGCCGTCGACCGGTAGTCGGTTCACTGGTGAACATCGCGTTATTCCTTGGTTGGCAGTCGGAGATGAGTTTCAGTTTTTCGTGGTGCTTTTTGTTGGTGTAGCTGAGGTTCGGTTCCTGTTTGGTTGTAGTTTCAGCAGATGCACTCACTCCGGTAGGTACAAGATGCTTGTCGCGATGCTTATTACCCTCGTTCTCAGACCCCTTTTGGTTTGGTATTTTGGTTGCCACTCGCCTTTGCGCCGTGGTAATATCCGACCCCCCCCCCCCCCCCCACCGAGTTCCTGCGTTGCGTTATGTATTGCCGATGTGATCGCAGCAGTGGCGACGTCTGCCTGCAGGAGTGCGTTTTATTGCCGGTCTGAGCCATTACCCCCGCCCCCAGCGGTGAGTCGGCCAATCGGCGGCCGCCACGTCACCGCCGGAGGCGTGGCCCGCCGTGGCTGCCGGTCTTTCGCGTGCTCTCACTCCGCATGTGATAGTTGTCGGCCAATCGCTGCGCTCGCAATCCGTAGCAGCCAATCAACGGGAGGGTGACCGTCCTCTGGCCAATCACGCACCGAGTTGAACATGCCAGTGGCCGTCTCTTGGCCAGTCACATATCGAAGTGGGCGTGCCAGTCACAGAGAGCTACGACGGTCACTTGTCCGGCGGATGGCTCGCCGCAAGCGCGGCAGACAGCGATAGACCGAACGTAGTCTGCAACCTGGGCGGCGGCGCCGAGTGCGGCCAACACTTGGACCGCCTCCCGCCGACATAGGCTCCTCTGCAGAAGGCTGTGTGCAGTTTGAGTGGTGCTGTAGAGATCTGTTCTCCGAAAACGCCCTCTGGCTGGGGGCACGGAAGCGTTGCCAGCTTCTGATAGCGAGTGTGCGGACTGCGGACATGGGGGGGAGGGGGAGGGGGGGTCAGGGAATAGGGGCGAGAGAATGCGCTAGCTGCAGCGATAGTGAAGTGGTGATTGCTACTCCGGTCCAAGTAGGGACGTTTGGTCCTATAAACTGCGTGCACAGGTGTAGAGGCATGTGGGAAGCCCAGAGACTTGTCATAGCGCGGAGTGCTCGTTACAGAATGGCGCCATGTCGTGCGTCGGCACCGTTTGCAAATATTCTCCGCGTGAAAACCTGGTTGTGGGTCAGCGCCTGCATTGGCCAAACTCGGCATAATCTGCGATGAAACAGGTCGGCTACTCAGGTTGTCTGCTAATGTTGTCTTGCTGGTTCGTTTTGAACATGATTGGGCTATATCAGTCGCGCCCTGTTTTAGCATGTTTTTTAACCGTCTGAACGCTCTGGGAGGGGGCCGCAAGTTTTGTTCTTCATAGTGTTCCCAGCACGCGCGATTACTAGGCAGCAGTTCAGCAGCTCTGCCGCTCCTCGGCGCTCATTGGTGAAGCCTTGGTCAACGCATCAGGACAGGCCTTCCCACGCTCGTTTTCGACGGCAGTGACAATGACCCGGTCGGCACCGGCCGACTGCGTTGTGGGAATGGCGCCGGCGGGGCGGGGCGGACTGAGGCGCCTGAGCCGCGCCGGGCGGGGCGGACTGAGGCGCCTGAGCCGCGCCGGGCGGAGCTCACGCGCCAGGCGGCGACCGGGCGCCGCCGGCGGGGGTCACGCGGGCCTCTCGTGACCGTGGGGACGATTTTGGGTCCGCATCCATGCTAGGTTAGGGCCCATTGGTGGTACTGGACATGGCAGCACTGCCTCGTGTTACGCGGTGCATGATAACATCGTAACGTGTACGATATAACATGATGACCTGGTAGCGTTGTCCGACGTGCGATGACGCCTGGTAACGTCGGGTCCGTCCTCAGCGGCCGGTGAATGCGACCGCGCCGCTAGAGTGCCGCTCTCCGTGTCCGCGGAGGACGGCTTCTTTGCTCAAGGCGCCCGCCACCCGCGTCACCGTGCCGCCTCTGCCGACCCGCCGGAGCGCGCGGAGGCGGCTGCTGGCGGCTGGCTGCTGGCTGCTGGTGGCGAACAGCTCCGCCGGACGCAGCGTGGCCTAGTGGCTGCAACGCAACCGTTCGACTGAAGTCGGCCCCCTCCGCGGCACGGCCCCGCGCCGCCGCCGCGTGACGCCGGCGTCGCCCGCCGTGACCGGCCGTGACCTGTGCGCGCAGGCATTGCGGTCATCCACGGCGAGGCGAAGACGCCCGACGACGAGGACGACGTGGACGCCGACGACGGGCGCACCTCGCCGCCGCCCGAGCCGCCGGCGCGCCACCAGGGCCGGCTCCACTCTTCCGTCTCGATGTCGGTGGGTGGCGCGCGCGCCGGCTCCGGCGGCCCGCGCCGCCGTCCGTGCGGGCCGCGCCGGCCGGCTCTGTTCGCGTCCGGGGTCTGTGCGTGTTCGTGCGTCGGCGGTGGCTTTGTGGCGACGGCCGGTTTGTGCGAACGGCCGCACGGACGCTGTCCGTCTCTGTGCGGGTTGGATGTCTGGACCGCCGTGGGGCTGTGCGGGTTGTGTTTGTGTTTGTTATTGGCTGGTTGCGTCTGGGCTGGTCGTGGTGGGTTTTGTTCGTCTGCCGATGGCTGGTGTGGATGGTCGTGGGGACGTACGCCGCGTGTCTCTGCATCCGTGTTGCTATGAGTCGCCGGTGTCAGCTGTCTCCGGGCCGCGACCTCGGCGTGAGGCGGCCGCTGTCTGCGGGATGTGAGCGGCGTGTGTGTGTGTATGAGAGAGAGAGGGACCGGCCGGGCCGTCCGGCTCGCCGCCGCCGCCGCCGCCGCCCGACTCCGAGCTCGCGCACGTGACCCGAGCTGACCCGGCGCCGGGGCGCCGGGGTGGCGTCCGCAGGGGCGCGGCGGCCGCCCGGCGGGCCGGACGGACCGGCCGGAGGCACGCCCGTGATCGCTTCTGGACTCCACTGACGCCTTGCTTTCACTTTACGCCGGGAGCGCGGCCTGTGTTGCGGCTTTGGTTTGCTGTGTGATGAGTTGGCCGGTTTTTCCTTTGTTTCTGCACCGTCCCGCCCTGGCGCCGCCCCCGTCGACTAGCGGCGCTCCGTCCTGTTCCGCGGCGGCCGGTTTGAATGTCTCGCGGCCGCGCCGGCGGCAGCGCAGCCGACGTGACTCCAGCGCCGGCGCAGCGAGGTCAGCTGGAGGGTGGAGGTGGCTGGTGAGCCGCTGGTAAACGGGACGCGCGCGCTCGCTCGCTGGCTCGGCGCGGCTGGCCGTCCCCGAGCCGCGCCCCTCTGCCCAGCGCTTTGTCCTGTCCGCGCCCCGTGCTCCCATCTAAACGGCAGCTCGGCTATCTGCAGCGCTTGCGGGAGACGTTTGCCGCGCCTCTTTCCCACACTACTCCTCGTCCATTCCTTTGCGTTGCTTTGCATAGCTTCCATTCCTCCCCCCCCCCTTCTTCTGTACTCATAAAACTCCTCGTCCGTTTCTTCGTACCCTGTACTCACAAAACACATTCATTTCTCCACATTCCTCTCCTCCCCCGCTGTGTTCACGCCATTTCTCGTTCATTTCTCCGTATTGGTCCCCTCCCTTTCCGTATTCACAGAACTCCTTGTTTACTTCTCCCTGTCATATTCCGCCCCCTCCTGTCATGTGTAGACGGCCGCTGCCCGGGCGCCTCCTCGCTTCTCCTCCGTCCGCCTGGGTCTCGTCCTGCTCGCGGGCGCCCGCCTCGGCCGCGCCGCCCAGCTGACGCCCGCCACCCTGCCGCCCCTGCGTCCAGTCGTTCCTGGAGCCGAACGAGTCGGAGATGGCGGCTGTCGCGGCCGGGGCGGCCGCCGCGCGCCGCGCGACGCTCCGCCTCCGCTCCACGGCCTCGGTCTGCATCGTGAGTAACGCCGCCGTCGCCGCCGGGGCCGCCGGCGAATGAGGCGCGTGATGAGGCTGTCAGGGGCGTGATGAGGCTGTCGGGCGCGTGATGATGCTGTCGGGCGCGTTATGAGTTTGTCAGGCGCGTGGGTCAAGGGCTGGAGTTGTGGCGTCGGTGCGGCGGCCAGGGCCGCGATGCAATGCCACAAGCTACGTCTTGATTGGTCGCTGGTGCCGCCGCTCAGTAAGGACATCAGCTGGGAGATGGCGGTGTCGCCACGCTCCGTTTATGTGGTAAGGGGGGGGGGGAGTTATTGGCACTGTTGTTTTTGCAGTCGATACAAACATTGCACTCATGGGGATGATCATCACCGTAGCCGCTCCTGGTTGTTGATAAGATGCCGAGTTGAGCCTAGCAAGCGGTCAGCTGGGATTACGGTCCTTAGCTTGCCGTTGCAATTTAGCGCTGCGTGGGCTGAACGAACGAGGTGTTTTTCCAACCGTAGATATTTTATTGTCTGGTTCCAAAATGGTTAGTCGAGATCGTTAGCGTATCGGGGGAACCCACCGGTGACTAAAATAGATAAAATCGTTATCAAAACACCGCAGCTGTTGCTACCTGTCATTCGTATTTAAAGTAAATGTGGAAGTACGAGGCATAACATAATTGTATCAATGCCCTCTGTTATTCCTCTGTCACCACGTGTTTCATTCTGAGTTGCTACCACCTCTCACTGCCCCAAGGTGATTGGTTGCCACCTCTCACTGCCCCAAGGTGATTGGTTGCCTCCTCTCACTGCCCCAAGGTGATTGGCTGCCACCTATCACTGTCCCAAGGTGATTGGCTAGCGTCTGTTCGTATGCTTTCGGACGGTCATATGGGCCACCAGCCGCGCTTTGCTGTTCAGTCTGCTTAGCGACGCGGCGATCACACGGCTGGACGAGACTGCGCCGTGAATGCCGTGGGCGCCAGATCACGCTAACGGAAGCGCCCATGTCGGTGGCGGGGGATTACCACCGGGGCCCACCCGCGCCGTGCGCCTCCGGGGCGACACGAGCGAAGCTGAGAACACGCCTTCATGACGATGACATGACCCGAAAGCGTCGCGCCCGCCGTTGGTTACTTTGGTGTCACTGTATTTTCAGTGTTGCACACTCTTGGTTTACTTTTCTTTGTTGCGGGTGTGGATGCAGTGCATGACCTTGGTTGGTTGTTCGTAGCGACTTGGAGAGTGTGCGCTGTGGTGCCCTGTGACGTGCCCGAGAGCGTGTACCTGACGGGGTGTGTTGAGAAGAAGCGTGGAGGCTCGCTCGCCGCCTGGCGCCGCCTGACCGTCGTCGCGCGTCGCGTGCGGCCTCCCCCGCAGGGCGAAGTGGACCCGTCTCGGATCATGACCGCGGGCGTGACGGGCGTGCCCATGCAAGCGGCCAAGGAGAAGCCGCCCATTTCGGTGGTAGGAGACGTTGGTGGCAGGATCGCCATCATGGTGGTGAGTCAGCTCCCCTACTCATTTCACCCCCAACCGTCCCCCCCCCCTCGCCCCAACCGTCCGCCGCTCTGGGAACGGATGTTGGGGCGGGGGATGTGTAGAGATGAGGACTTTCCGGGTAAACATTTCCGGACTCGGCGTGCTCGTGCATCCGAGATGTAGGGAACGCTTCCGAATGAGCAGAGCGCTGAGCGAGGCGCCGCCGAGCCCGGTCTCAGCTGGCGGTGAGGGACAGTATGCTCGGTTATGTGCCGGCGTTGGGAACCCGCCCGCGACGTGCTGCATAGCTCACGCCGGTCTGTGCCGGTTTCTCCGTGGCAGCGGGAGATGCCGATGGGACGTAACTGCTCCCGCGTGCACCAAGCAGGATGCCGCAGCCCGTAACGTTCCCGCGCGGAGATGGCATATAACCAGCTGCGGGACGGGTGCATTGTATGGTGACGACCGGTCCTTGCTGCAGGCTGCGGGAACGCGCGGCTGACGTTTCTGCGGCCGAGCGATGACAAGGTTGGCGGCGTTTTGACCCTGGAGGGGGGGGGGGGGGGGGGGTGAGGCTGACTGACTGACTGGCATTGTTCTGAGCTCGCGATACGACCGGGGTTCCGCCGACGGCAGGGCGGCAAGGCGACGGCCCCCCGTGACCGGTCGCTGACATGACCTGGCTTGACCTGACCCGGACCTGTGTGCCGTCAGGACGACATGATCGACGACGTGCGCTCGTTCGTGGCGGCGGCGGAGATGCTGAAGGAGCGCGGCGCCTACAAGATCTATGTGCTGGCGACCCACGGCCTGCTGTCGGCCGACGCGCCGCGCCTCATCGAGGAGTCGGCCATAGACGAGGTGACCCCTACCCCCCCATCCCCGCCCGCACCCGCGGCCGGCCGCCCTTCGCCGCGTCGCCTCTGCGCGCATGCTTACGCCTGGTGTTGACGGTTGTCTGTGCCGGCCCGGGCTGAACTTTTGGACTCTGAACTTGGTTTTCTGTGCGGTGCGACACATGGCGCGCAAAGGGTGAAATCAGCTTAGCTGGCCGCACGCACCGAACCTCGCCTGGATCACGTCTTTCGTTGGCCCTTGTCTCGCGGTAGCGCGCGTCGTCCATCTGCCTGGCAAACCCTTCATACCGATTGTTACCCAGATCGCATACCATGTATTTGACGAGTTTCGTTTCGTCCTGGTACACCGTGTCCGGACCTATCCCGTCGGCGCGTGTCGACGGAGTGTGCACGGAGTCGGCAATCGCCAGCACACTGCCTCGCGACCCCGGCGGGCCGACGTCAACAGCTCGCGCCGCCGCCGCCAGGTGGTGGTCACCAACACGGTGCCGCACGACGTGCAGAAGATCCACTGCCACAAGATCAAGACGGTGGACGTCAGTATCCTACTGGCCGAGGCCATCCGCCGCCTGCACAACAAGGAGAGCCTCAGCTACCTCTTCCGCAACATCACCACGGAAGACTAGGCGACGCTGGGCGCCCCCCCCCCCCCCGCCGTCACCGCCGGCGACCGGGAGCTCCGCCTAACGCCGGTGGAGGGGGGGGGGGGGGAGGCTGAGGCGGTGTGCCGGGCGCGGGCGACGCACCACGGCGGGAGGGCAGGGCCGAGGTGCCGCCGCGCCGGCGGCAGGCCGGCCGTCAGCTGGGCGCGGGAGGTGTCCGGGCGCGGTGCGCCGATGTGCGTGCGATGCTGCGCACGTGTCCGCATGGTGGCGTGCGTGCGCTGCTGCGCGTGACCGGCGGCGCGCTAGAGCGGCGGACGCGGCGATGTGCGCGCGTGACGCCGAGTGCGAGGACCGGGAGTGGGACCCGCCGTCGGCGGAGCGTCTCGAGTGGCGTCTGGGCCGGGCCCCGGGGGGGGGGGGGGGGGCCTGTGCGCCGCGCCGTGGGGCCGGCGGGCCGGCGTCCCTCATGCGTTTCGTCGGTCGGGCCTGAGGCGGCTTGGTGGAGGCCACGCGCCGGCCGGGCGGCGGGCCTTGCTGTGAGGAGGTCGCCAGGTAGGGATGGTGCGCGCGAGCTGGCGTCGGTCTGCCGCGGCCTGCGGCTGGGGCGACGCGGCTGGACCGCTCGCTGGGCGCCGGCCGCCACCCGGGCGCGGGCTGGATCGGGACGGGTGGACGCTCGGCAGGCTGTGTCCGGCGGGTTGGGTGAACTGAGCGTGTGGTGGGAGGCTGGGGTGAGGAGGACGTCCGTTCGCCGTCGCCGCGGCCCCGGCCGCCGGTGCCGTGGCTCCGCGGGGGCGGCCGTCGTCCCTGCGTGGGGCCGCGACTGTCGCGGCTCCGGGGTCCGGTACGGGACTTCCGGACGTGGCGTCGGGGGGGGGGGGGGGGGGTGACGGGCCCGGACCCGTCCGCGCGACCCGGCGATGCAGGACGCCGCAGTAGACGACGGGACGTGGAACAGGTGTCGCGACGGGGTGCGCCGCGCCTTGGATTGCACCAGCACTTGTGCTTAGCCATGTAGCTGCTAGGTGCCGGGCATGATGTTTATACGTCGATGAAGCAATCGGCATCAGCCATAGACAGTGCAATGTCGAAGTGTGAACTTCATGGGGTTTCACTTATTGTCCCGGCGGAGTTAGGTTTTTGCTGCTGCGCTGCATTACCCTGTTGTGAAAATGACTCAATCGCCAACTTAGTATCCTCAACATGTATATTGACTACCCAACCGGCCGGCATGATGGAAGCCGGGAGGGCGCCTGTATTATCTACTACATTCGCGATATCTGCGTGTACATAAACTGGAAATGGTATTTGCGGACATGATGGTAAGTGGCCGTTATTTTGTAGTGAATTTTGCCGCGTTTATGAAGATCTACAGCATCGATTGCTCCGCGCACCGTGGTGAACTACTGACGGTCTGTGAACTCATGACGGAAACTTGATTAACGGTGTACAGTAGCCTTGTAGTCGGGCTTTCGTAGACCGAGTGTTTGTTTTGGATGTCCCCGGGGATCAGGTTAGGAATTCGGCTGGCACTTGTATGGCACGTACTGCGGGACCGTCGTAATAAACCACGGCATTTCTGCACCTTGTTTTTGGCGCAGATGCGACAGTTGTGAAGGCAAGAGCAGTGAAAGCAAGACAGGCTAGCGACAGCGGCGGCAGTGATGGGGAAGTGTCGGTAGTATAGTGGTTAAGGGCGTCTTCGTTAACCACTGCGTCTGGGCAACCAGAGGTATGGGAATCGATTCCTCGCGGTGCCCGCTCTTTCCTGCTAGGGTGAGAGGCAGGCGACGCCATATAGCCTTAGCAGCTGGGTGGGTCGTAAAGCCCCAATAACGACGGGGACAGCGATGCTCAAACAACTGTCTCCCTTTTTGTACAGCTCAGCGGTGTCGGGATAGCGGTTGAAAGACATTCAGGTTTATAGCTTTCGAACACATCGACGTCGCTTAAGCCGAGATTACAGACATAAGGTCACTGACCATCCTCGCGTCCGGGTCATATGCCCTCCGCTTGTTACACGCAGTGCACATTTGATCTAGCCCCATTAGATACGAATTGAACATGCTATGTCATGTTGAATTGGACATAGACACCGGGACACCCTGGCTGCAGTCAATTGCAACAACATCGCAGAACGTAAAAATGCTGAGAGCAGACGCAGGCCGAACAGAAATCATCTACACATTTTAGTGATGGCGGTACCAGGCCGTCGGTCGGGCATTCACCCACGATCTCGGCTGGAGTCGTGGACGTGGCTCCGGCTGCCGGCTTAACCTTTCGTTGCCTCTCCCTACCCCCAGCGCTAGAATTAGCGAATCTAAATCAAGAAAGTGGCTACTGCTCGCAGGTAAACGCGCCGTAAAAGTCCTAAGGTTAGGTACGTGCGGCCCTACCCCAAATAGAATTCTGTAGTGTCGCATTGGTGCTGACATCTAGTGATCATTCTAAAAACTTATAGTTCGTTAGTGTTGCCATGGCAACGGGCTCATGATGACATGATTCAGATCGGGTAAAATGTTTCGGGAGGGTGCGGACAAGTCCAGATAGTCCAAAAAAGCTCGGGTGCTGCACGTTTGTGGTGTAGCAATTATACCGAAATATTTTCCGACATGGTGCCTAATGTTCACACAAGCTGATCATGTCCAACGCATTCATAGTCCAACAGATCTAATCGGTCAAAAAGGTAAGCTTTGGGGGCTTGGTTGCGTCAAACTGTTCTTGCGTTGAGGATGTTGGCACTTATGCCGGCTCCTCTCAGGCAGTCACACTCAGGAACGAGCGCACCACTTGGAACTGAACAAGACAATTTACATGTGTACACGGGCATAGCATAACTAACATATACCGAAGGTAGGTACCTAGCCTATGTTGTGAGGCTAACGTATGCTGTATTCTACATGCATCGTGGCTTGACTTAACAGACTTTGTATGCAAAAGTTAGGACTAAGCCCCAGCGACTTCTGGACGCCTGGATTGGAGTTAATTTCCACAAAACTTACGTTGCCGCGGTTCCACCCCTACGCGCACACATATATATGTTGCACCTGTCCTTGTACCGCCAGATGGCCCGCAAGAGGGATCTGATCCAGATCCAGACGGATGTCACCACACAGGAAGAGTGGGAACAGGAGATCTCTAAGCCCGGCCTGACTGTTGTCGACGTGTACCCGGCGTGGTGTGGCCCCTGCGTCTCCATGCTGGGGATGCTGAAGAAGGTGTGTGCGGCAGACGTCCGGCTGCTGGCCCTCTGTCCGTCGACGCGTCGCTGTCGACGACTGCGTGCATGAGCGCGGTTTAGATTGATGGCAGACAGTCAGTTTTCGGTCAGTGTGTGTGGAGCGTGGACTGAGGAGGTCGGTTCGCTTGTTTACCCAGGTTTGAGTGGAGAGTTAGCTAATGCAATCATGCAAGTTTGGATAGTCCTTGAAGTTGTGGGCCGCAATTTTCCATCTGATCGTTTTTTGGGACTTGTGACAAGTGTCTGGGAGGCACGTTGGCATGCCGAGAAGATCATAACAATTTCGAGCCGAAGGAAAAATGCCTTTCATCCGATACGTTTACGACATATGGATAAGCCATGTAGACTGAGAACATTGCGAGAAACAATTGCTAAAACACGTTTTGGCGATCATCTGCCCAACGTGAGAACAAAGTTAACGCCATAGATCCTGGCTAACTCGAGGGCCGTTCCTCCCCACATACACTTTGCCCTATTTAGTCTAAATAGCCTTAATCAGACGTAATCTGACGTGGGCTGTTCAGACCGGCTGGCCTCCCCAGAAGTGTTGTGCGCCGAGCCCGAGCCGCCCAGCTGCGCCCCAGTCCGCCAGATGGACCCACCCCCACGCACCTCGGCCCCAGCCTACGGCTGACGGACCGCCGCCGCCGACAGATCAAGTTCGAGCTGGGCGACGACATGCTGCACTTCGTAACGGCCCGGTCAGACGCGATCGACGCGCTGGAGGCGTTCCGCGGCCGCTGCGAACCGCTCTGGATCTTCTATGGCTCGGGCAACGCCGTCTACCAGCTGCGCGGCGCCCACCTGCCGCTGCTGGCCAGCAAGATTCTGGAGGAGCTCGATATTGAGAAGAAGGTGCGGCGCGGGCGGCCGGCGGGTGGCGGGAGGCGGTTGACGGGTAGCGGTTTGACGGGTGGCGGGTAGCGGGTTGGCGGTTGGCGGGTGGCGGATGGCGGGCGGCGGGTGGCGGGTGGCGGGTCGCGGTTGATGGGCGGGCGGGTGGCGGTTGACGGGTGGCGGGTGGCGGGTAGCGGGGTGGCGGCACCGGCGGTGTGAGCTGGCCTGGTCGGGATGTTTTGATGATGGGCACGGAATCCAATGACAATCAAAAACAAAGGTTAAGCGGTGAGTATCGGCCACGGGTTTTTTGATGGTGGGATGGTGGAGGCAAGGGTGGTTAGTAGATGTTGCGCTGCGTCAAAATGCCAGGTACGTCTCAAGCCCGAAAGGTCGCACATTTGTTAGAGGTCGTAAAGGAGAGGGGCCGGGACCCTCCAAACATTGACTTTTAGTGGAAAGCACATACTGGGCGTGCGAGGCATTTTCCCACACCCTGCTTCCGCTGCTGGGTACTGGCCACCGCGCTATTCGCCACGACATTCGTGGCGGCGGCGGACGACGCCGTCCGGCCCGCCGCGCCCCTGAGCTCCCCCCCCCCCCAAGCGCTCCTTAGCACTCCTCTCGCAGCGCTCCTGCGTGCCCTCCCCCCCAGCGGCGGCTCTGAGCTCCCCCCGCGGCGCCTCGAACCCTCCTCTCGTGGTGCCCCTGAACGCCCTCCCTTGCGGCGTCTCTGAGAGCCCCCCCCACCCCCTCCGGCGTCAGGTTGCTGGCAGGAGCGGCAGCGCGTCACCAATCACCCTCGAGTGCGACGCGCCGGCCGAGGTGGAGCTGCCCGAGGTGCCGGTGGTCGAGGACGAGGCCGAGACGGCGGCGGCGCTCAACGCCCGCCGCCAGCGCTCGAGCTGCGCGTTGCGCCGCGCCCTGGCGCCGTAACGCCTGCTGGTTGGTGGCGGCCGCCGTCAGGGACAGGTCGGTCGGTCGGCGCGGAGGACGAGCCGGCGCCGGCGCGGTGGCGCGCTCTCGGTCGGACGCGGAAGCACGCTCGCGTCGAGGTGCTCGCGTCAGTGTTCTCAGGGTGATGTGCTCGCGCCAGTCTGCTCACGTTAGTGTCCTTTGAAAGGGGTCAACGCTGCAGGGCGGCGGACGTTGTGCACAAATGGCGTTCCAAGGTGTGGCCTGCGTGCACCTAACGCAAAGTGCATTGCTAGTCTGCGGTATGCGAAACGGCCACAGCGCGTCCGATTTCGTCCGATGGCTGCCGTGCTTTGTTCGAGATACGACTGATGCAGTGCGATGTGATATACAACGCTGACATACGGACCAACGCTGGTGCTTCAGTAGTCTGGGAGGCTACAGCGACACGTTACGTCATTGTTATATGCTGACGCTTCTAGCGCTTTGTTGTATCGTTTGGTTGAAAGTTCAAGCACTGCATGCAGGGAAGCAGCCTGATCATGCCACGCGTCCGTGCCGAGGATAATGTAACCCGCTCATTTCCATCACCATCATCACAGACAACAGCGCTGTCGCATCGGAACAGTCTGCCCCGCCTGGACCGGCCACTAATGTTGTCTGCAGGCAGGAGGAGATCCAGGCCGTGCTGGACGCGCGTGGCTTCACCAGCGGGGCGGAGACGTGTGCGGTGCTCTCCGAGGAGGAGGTGGACGCCCTGCTGCTGGGTCCGCCGCCGGAGCCCGGTGAGTGCCGCTACGCTCTCGTCGCCGGGGGCTCTCAACACGGACGCAGCGCCCGGTTTAATGTCGGGGAATGAAGCTAGGTCATGTGACGTCACAGTTCAGGATGTGCTGAACTGTGATGTAACATGAGCGCGTGGGGGCCGCTTTAAAGTGTAACCAAACAGAACAGCGGAAAATAACGCAACCAACGATACAGGCTAGTGGTTTGAAGTCCCCACTGAGGTTACAAATTACCTTGTCGCCATTTTTTCCGTGTCACGGATCCGTCCTGCTGTGTAAGAATCGGTTTTGCGGTTTTGCACAGTATAGGTACTGTTAGTGGTGTTGATGGAGACATAGGTCCTAGGGATCCCCCCCCCCCCCCCTGTGCTTGGGGTGTCTACTGTGGCTTTCAAAGAACCTTTGCATTCTAAATTGGTTTTTGAAACATGCTACTTACTGGCATAAGCGAAAGAAGATTGCAAGAAGTCACGCGTTTTCTCGGCGCTTCGCCGTAAAAATCTCCCTCTGTCCATCCTCCCTCTCCCTCTCTCTCTCTCTCTCTCCTGTCACTTTCTTCCCCCCCCACTCCCGCCCCCCTCTGCACGGTGCCGTCGACAGTCCGTGGAGGCGGGATTCGGAGCCGCCGCTGAGGACGCCGACGAGGCCGGCGGACAGGACAGACCGGTGACGAACGCCTTCGGAGGAGGATGCCGACGCCCCGGCCAGCCGGCTGACGCGGAGGCGGCCCGACGCCGAGGGCCGACGGCGGGGTTGGCGGGCGAGCCGGCGGAAGCCCGAGGAGGATGACCCCGGAAATACTGGGCCAAGAGACAGGCGGATCAAGGACAATGGATGGCGCGGAGGGAGAGGATTAGTATCGTCGAGGTTACAGTTGGAAAGCAAATGCAGGGATTCCAACATGTGTAGATGAAGGTTGAGGTGTAACTCACATTGGCACAGGTAAAGTGCGATAAAACCAATTTTGGAGTCGATGCTTTGCATGGTCTTACCAAATGCCTAGAGTTAGAGTTAAGGGTCAGACATTTTCGGAAGGTGAAGGTCGCATGGCACTACGGACTTCCTCTCCATCTCCCTCCTATTACATCATGCACATTGGCTGGTAATTCGCATTAGCACGTCTAGCGGGGCGCGGTTTAATGGAGTGACGGTGCAGGTTGGCAATTTATCGCGACTCCGTGTGTGCCCCGGCAGTGCGCCCTGGTCGCTCCATCTTGGACGTCGGAAATAACAAGCGAAGACAAACCATAAAAACCGGCTGGCTCACCGCCCCCCCCCCAAACCCTGTACCTGGGCCAAGCACCAGCGCCGCCTCCCGAGATCCAGCTGGAAGCTGAAGTTGCGCCGGCCGCCGCTGGAGGGGCAGGAGGGTGGTGACCAGTCAGCGGATGGCGAGGCGGCCGAGAGCGGAGAGAGGGCGAGGAGGGCGCCGAGGATGGTGCAGCGGAGGAAGAGCCGCCAGCGGAGGAGCCGCCAGCGGAGGATGCACCAGCGGAGGAGGTTCCAGCGGAGGAGTCTCCAGCAGATGAGGCACCAGCGGAGGAAGCGCCAGCGGAGGAAGAGGAGGGCAGCCCCTGCCGACCATAGAGAGAGACTGCAGGATCTGCTGGAGGACCTCAGTCCTGCCGCGTGGACACCTCCTACCGTGCTCGGTCAGGTGAGGCCCAGCTGTCGCGCGTTTGGCCGTGCCATGCCTGGCAGCATGACTTACTAACGTTTCTCCTAGAAACGTCAAACTGCCCATGCAGTAATTGGGCTGTGGCGTGGGGGGGGGGGGGGGCGTGCCTGCGCCCCTTCGCACGCATCTGCCGCGCCCATCAAACGATGCGGTAGACTCCGGTGGGCGACGCCGAGGTCAGAGTGCTGGTGACGATGCTGACCACACAGCGGGATGAGAAGCAGAGCCGTCAGGTGGCGACGCTGCTCCGGCAAACTGTGCCCCCGGCGCCGCCTGTCGCGCCCTCCCGCCCTGGGCTGCTCGCGGTCAGTACGCCGCCCGGCGGCGTGACGCGTTGTGTCCGCGCGTCGCAGTGGGCCGCCCTGCGGAAGTACATTCCCCGAGCTGTACCGGGCGGCGCCGGCGCCGCCGACGGAGCAGGTGGCGTTCGTCATCTTCCCGGCCAGCCGCGAGGAGGCGCCGCAGCTGCTCGTCGACGCCGGGTTCCGCGTCCTGCACTCGGGCTCCGACGCCCTCATAGAGGAGGTACGCTGATGCCTCGAGAACTGCGGCTGGCTTATGTGGAGAACCCTCCGTTTGGCTGCTGAGTGAGTGAGTTGTTTGTTCGGGGGAAAGACCTGTTTTTGCTTATGAACTCGTGGTCACAGCACTAGCCGTCTGATTCTGCGAGCTTTGGAAACACGGGCCTTTGCCTGGAGTGGACAATGCTGATTGAACATTCTCGTGTCTTTTATGAACATTCTCGTGTCATTCATTGAACATTTCCGTGCCATTCATGAGCATTCCTTCGTGAACGTTTTTTTCCAAAAACTTCGCAACTCTGCAAGAGTTTGCTTCCTTCAGCAGGATCCTGCCTCTACCCAGCCCTTTATTCGCGGCAAAGACGAACATAGGAGAACGAGCCGCCACCGTCACACAGACGCGATCACTCGAACCAGATCCATCATGTTAAAGCGTCATCCGGCGCGTGTTAATCCTCCGTGGCGCGGACACTGTTTCAAACCAGACGTGTCCCGGGCCGCAACCGCCGGCTCGTGTCCGCCGCGCCGAGGCGGCCGATCGCCCAGGCGCGGATTGGCCCGCGGCGCGCAGCCTACCGGCAGCCGCTATGGCTCCGCCGGCCGCCCGCCCGCTCGCGCCGCGCCCCGCCGCGCCGCGCCGCGCCCTGCCGCGCCGCGCCGGCGCCCGCCCCGCCGCGCCGCCCGCCCCGTCGCGCCCCGCCGCGCCCCCGCTGGCGCCCGCCGCGCCCCGGCCCCTCGCCCGCCCGCCCCGCCCGCCCGCCTCGCCGCCGCCAGGCGCCGAGCGCCCCGCGCGCGCGCCTGGCAGACGGCCGTCAACCGCCCCGCCCCGCGCGCCGCCGCCAGGTAGCCGAGCAGCTGGTGCCAGCCTGGAGGGCGGCCAGAGCCAGATCCCAGAGCTGGTTGGCGGAGCCGGTGTACGCGGCGGCACTGGGTGCGCCGGCGGACGCCGCCCTCTCCGCCATGGTCAACATGGACCCGCTCTACCTGTCCGACGGCCCCTGTGAAATGGGACGCGGCGGCGAGCCGCTCTGGACCGGGAGCAGGCAGACACGGCAGGACTCCCTCATTGGACTGCCGCCAATTAGTGTACCCGAGACTGGGAGAAATGTGTGTGCCCTAGTATTCAAACTCGTGTTGGAAACCCGGGAAGTTGCATTGGAAACGCGGAAGTGTGGGACCTGGATTTCAGCGGCCGTGTTTGATGCCTGTAGACGTAGTGTGTCAGTACAAGCTCTCGGGCTCGCCCGTGTAGCGTAGAGGACAACTGTGGCTAGTGGCGACATGTGCGCTGTGTATTGTTGTACGCCCAGTGAACAAGCCTGTAAAAACCCGCACACCCGTCATGAAATCCCTCTGTCGTCCCCAGCTCAAGCCGACCTGGACGCCAAGCTGGTGTTTGCCTCTTGGGGCGTCGAGATCGACACTCTGCTGGCCCCACCTGCAGAAGGCGCACCACCAGCGGGAGGGTGCTTGCTGAGGGGGCGCCGCCGGCGGAGGGTGCTGCTGAGGTGAGCGCCGCCGGCGGAGGGTGCTGCCGAGGGGGCGCCGGCCGGCGGAGGGTGCTGCCGAAGGGGCGTCGCCGGCAGAGGGTGCTGCCGAGGGGGCGCCACCGGTGGAGGGTGCTGCCGAGGGGGCGCCACCGGTGGAGGGTGCTGCCGAAGAGGCGCCGCCGGCGGAGGGTGCTGCAGAGGGGGCGCCGCCGGCGGAGGGGGCGCCATCGGCGGAGGGTGCTGCCGAGGAGGCGCCGCCGGTGGAAGGTGCTGCTGAGGGTGCTGCCGAGGGGGCGCCACCTGCGGAGGATGCTGCCGAGGGGGCGGCGCCGGCAGATGAAACCGAAGCAGCGGAGGGTGCCACAGACGCAACACCAGCCGCTGAAGAAACTCCTCCGGAAGGCGCTGCCACAGCAGAGCAGGCTCCAGCAGAGCAAGCTCCAGCAGAAGCTCCAGCAGAAGGGTCTCCAGCAGAAGAGCTTCAGCAGAAGAGGCTCCAGCAGAAGAGGCCCCAGCAGAAGCTCCAGCAGAGGAGGCCCCAGCAGAGGAAGCTCCAGCAAAGGAAGCCCCAGCAGAGGAGGCCTCATCAGAAGAAGCCCCAGCAGGAGAAGCCCCAGCAGAGGAAGCTCCAGCAGAGGAAGCTCCAGCAGAAGAAGCCCCAGCAGAGGAAGCCCCAGCAGAGGAAGCTCCAGCAGAGGAAGCTCCAGCAGAGGAAGCTTCAACAGAGGAAGCTCCAGCGGAGGAAGCTCCAGCAGAGGAAGCTCCAGCAGAGAAGGCCCCAGCAGAGGAGGCTCCAGCGGCCGAATAAATGTGGTGGTAAGCACAACTCCTATATGATTTACCATTTGTGGGAGGGGGATGAGTGGAGGCAGATAGTGCAATACTCATATACTCAGCATTATTTTGTCCTCCACTTGGCGCCGTGCCTGCGTCTCCTTCCCTCCTTTGTGCGTTGAGCACGCGCAACTCAGAGCGTGCCGCGCAGGGCCGGATTGGCAGGAGATATCACCCGCCCCAGCCGCTGCCAGTAACCTCGTGCTGTGGGGGAGGGAGCGGCCCCGAGAGCACCTCGCTGGCGGAGGCTGAGTGCCCGCAGAGCCGGCTGTCTGCAGTGACGAAGGCAGGGCAGCTGGATGCACGTGTTGGTTGCCATCTTAGTGTATGCTTCTGCTTACATGTCGGCTCGAGTGATCCACCAATGATTTGGTTGACTCGGTTACGACTCCTGTTCGCTCAGAACTCATGCTGAAAGGAATTTGTTTCACTTTGACTAAGGGAAAACTCGCAAACTGTGGGGCTGACTAAAAGTTCACATGAAGTCACTCACAAACTAGCTGTATCTCCAAGCGTTCCACGCAAGTGTCCTGAATTGCCGTCTTTTTCTGCCCAGTTTGAGCATATTCATAAACTTGGTCACTCAGCATCTCCGATGAAGGTTTATTTATTGCGAAGGGCCTTTAACACAGCTAACATCACTTCAAACGAGATAAATCGAGTAGAATTCACAACTTTGTCAGGACGTGCAGCGATAACAAAATATCACTTTGACCACCGAAATAGAGGGCACTGCGAATGCCACCCCCGATAACACTAGGCGTCCTCGCAAAACGCTCGCACCCATGTCACGTGGCACATAGCGCGGTAAAGAAGCTAGGGGTAGGGCACTGAATGCGCTTTGGAGGGCGCCAGCTCACCCAAACTGCCCGCTGCCCGGCCCGGACGGGGCGGACCCGACGGGCCCCGCGGGCGCCGACGCAGGAAGAAGTGCGGTCAACACGGTCCGCGCGTGGCCGGCACGCTGCCTGGCCGGGACATCACTCGGGGCCGGACGACACGCAATCAAACGTCAGTCGAGCGTCACGAGGTCGTCACACCGTCACGCAACACCTGCCCCACCCCCACCCCCCCCCCCCCCCCCCCCGCCGCCGTCCGAGACGTACCTGCGGGCTCCCTCTTGGCCTTCGCTGAGATGGTGACGTCATCATCCGCCCCTGGGGAAAAGGCCAGCTATCGCCTGGCAGCGGCGTGGACAGACGCTGGCCGACAGCGTCTGCCGCCGCCAAGTATTAACGTCGGTGTCGCCGATAGATGTCGCCACTGGCGGTTGCGGCAACGCACAGGAGCGTGTTCAAGGCATCAGACCGTCCCGTCAGTGCATTAGGGCGAAGCTGACGATCGACTGGCGGTCCTCGGACTTGGATCGCTTCCGCACGCCTCCGCCTCCTGCTCGTCTGCGTGCCGTTGATGGACGGCACTGAAACGCAGGGCAACGCCGGCTAGAGACGGCCAGTTGCATCTGCATCAGCCAAAGCATCTGCCACAAACAAAAACATATCGAACGGACCAGAACGTTGTTCCTTGGATACCATATGCTGTAAACACCGCACGACGCACACTAGACCATACACGTACTCCCTCCACCAAACAAACTTGCATGCGTGCTTGCTCTCCAAATCTGCGTATCGCAAATATGCCTCCTCTCACAGACCATCACAATAAGATTTCCTCTCATGCACCACATCGTCCTGTCTGACATCAGCCCACATCTCACTGCGTGCAGCTTCCCTATTCCAAGCACTATTAGACGTGCTCCCCTCTCTAAGGTCCATGGTATGTGCCTCCCCTCTCTCACATCCCGTTACATACGAACCTTACCTTTCATATCCCACCTGGTACTCATCTTCTTTCCATTCACCCCACATTCCACTCCGCACACGTCTCAGGGTCGCTACAAGCCAAGTTCTCAGATAGGCCTGAGGGCTCCGTGGAGACTGCCATCCCCGTCTGCCTCCCTGTCGCAGCCGCCGCTGGCTCTCAGCCTCTTCGTTCTCTTGGCCCCGCTTTTGCCCCAGCCTTTTCCATGCTCTGACCCTTTCCAAACTCTTGTGACTGTCAGGCATCGCACTTGGTGCTAGCGCCTCTGGCCTACCAGAACGCCTAATCTAATGTAATTTGTGATGCAACGGCACATGCCATTCACCTAGGCGCAAACAGAAATTCACTTATCTTTATCTTTAGCCCGCAGCATAACAAAGCATTCCACTTCATCTTTCGTAGATTTGGGAACAAAACAGCATCACTTATTGTCTTTCAAAATGCGCGTCCACGCGATATTTGTCCACGAATTTGATGACCAAGAGAGGAGACATTTGCGCCGTTTACTCGGCACGTAACGGTACGCGTCTCCCCCTCCCCCCCCCCCCCAACAGGAACTCACCCACACCCTCCGTCTCCCCCTCCACACACGTATACGCACGCACGCACGCACGCACGCACGCACGCACGCACGACCCTCTGCCGCAGCCGTGCCGGCGGCGGCGGCGGGTATACTGACGCGTCTTGACGCCGTTGTCTCGCGCTACGGAGGCGCGTCGCCGGCCGCCGGCCGCCTGCCGGACGACGGCAGGCGGGAGTCGTCAAACTCGTCGTCCGACTGCAACCATCGACTGGCGGCGCCGGCTGGACCTGGCCAACACAGAGCAGGGGCGGGTGACGTCACAACGGAGGTGGGTGACGTCACAGTGTGGGTCCGACCCACCACAGCGACGCAGGAGTATAAGGAGGAGGCAGGGAAAGCTACTCCATCCGTCCAGTTGTCGTGTCCGATTTCACAGTTTCGGAAAAAGTCACTGGGGTGAGTGGGGCAAGGTGCTGGCGACGCCACCTTGCCTATTGGGTGCTGCGAACAAGAGGCTCTGCTGCAGGTCAGATGTTTTTTTTTTAATCGCGCTGAGGTTCTTAAGCCCCTTCTTTCAACGCAGAAGGTCGTCGTAGGTGTAATAATTTATACCGTAAGAGTTACACAGGCTCCTTTCTTTCCTCTTTACGACCTAGACCGCGATCGCGACCGAAGTATTATCTAATAAAAGGCCTCCAGCGCGTATCGTTACCGGCAGCGAACAACCCTCGTTTCCCACATCTGACGTCAGTTTCTGCCGCGGCCGGGGGCGCCACCGGCAGGCGCCCACCTGGTGCGACGGTCGGCGTGCCGCATCTCGGTTAGGCAGGGAGGAGCGCCGGCCGGCACCGGCCGCCGACTCCAGGTCACCCGAGCTGCCCCAGCGACGCATTCCGCTCCTGAGGACACGCACTTCCGCCATCAGACCAAGCGCCGGTGGGGGGTGCACCACGCAGGGGGGGAAGGGGCACCGAAATACGCAGGCGGCTCTGTTAGGTCAACGTGCCGGTCAGCCTGCTGGGTCTTGACTGCTGACTGGGCGGATCGTAGTAGCTGCATTGTTGGCGCCTGCACTGTTTTCGAGTTCTAGCTCGGGGAGGAACCCAGACGTCAAAGTTTTGCGAGATCATGCGAATTGTCACTAAACTCTTGTGGAATGGCCCAGTAGGTGTAAATCTTGCGAAACAAATAATCATGTGAAATAATAATACTAATAATAAAATATCGTGTAAAACTCTTGGCTCAGGAGGGCGAGAGTGGGGGGCATGGCCCCCTTCGCCCATCTGTTGGCTACGTCCCTGCTGTGTGGCAGCTGACGCGTCACAAAGTGCGTGTTGTACGAACGGCCACTGAGGCAACCCCTGCCACCACTCACTCACCCATTAGCGAAGCTGCCGCGTCGGCTTGTGTTGCCCTCATCCATGGACCCTGGTCGCCTACTTCCGCGCCGTCTTCGCCTGCGGACGTCGCAAGACATTGCTGAAATCCCGGTTACGATCGGGACTTTTACAGCAGTGGCTTGGTCGGGGAGAGCTGAAGCGTGGACCGCCTCCCTGAGACTCTCGAGAGGCTCAGGAGAGGCCACTCTGGTGAACAGGGTGTAATTGGGGGCCCCAGTCCCCCTTCCTACTCCATCTGCATCCTAGTGTGAAAACTCCCACGATGTGGAATGTTTTGTTGTTTTTAGACGGATTGGATTTCTGGAACACCCCGAGGGGCTTCGAGAGGACAAGGGCCTTGGCGGCTGAGGGGCCGTAAGTGATCGGGGGGCCCGAAAAGATCGGTGTTTCCTGAGATGGTCAGAAGACCGGAGACCACCAGAGGCCTTCCCTGGCTGATCGTGGCTGATCTAGGAGGCCTGCATGGTTGGTGAATGGTCACAGTTGGTAGTAGCGATGACTCGGTTGATGCTGCCAGGGTAGATCATGTGCCTGACAGGACCCTGGTCACAGGTAGAGGGCCGTTGGAGACCGGTCACGGACCCTCGGAACTGACAAGATCCTGGCCACAGTGAAGGGCCCCTGGAGATCGGCCACGGACCCCTGGAACTGACAGGACCCTGGCGACAGGTGAAGGGCTGTTGGAGACCGGTCACGGATCCTTAGAACTGTCAGGATCCTGGGCCACAGGTGAAGGGCTGTTGGAGACCGGTCACGGAACCTGGAACTGACAGGACCCACAGGTGAAGGGTCCTGGACCGGTCACGGATCCTGAATCAGGACCCTGGCCACAGGTGAAGGGCTGTTGGAGACCGGTCACGGCCTTGAACTGTCAGGACCCTGGCCACAGGTGAAGGGCTGTTGGAGCCTGTCACGGAACCCTGGAACTGACAGGACCCTGGCCACAGGTGAAGGGTGTTGGAGATCGGTCATGGCCCCTGGGCCTGCTGGACGTATCTGGGCACGAAATACAGAGCGGCCAAATGCTCGTGGACATCAACAAATGGCTATAAACAAACAAGAACGTGTCAAAACTAGAAAGGGCATACTGCCTGCAGAAGTAACCAAAACGCTTCTGAAAAGGGTGCAAGATAATAGATACGAACACTTATAAAACTGGAGCATCTGCCTTCAAGGCCGGCCGCAAAATGTAGCTTGGCAGAATCCCTCTTAACGTATCCGTGTGCAGCCAGCGCTTTAAAACTGGTCCAAAATGAATAGCCGCTGCATGCCCACGCCTGGTTGAAAATACTATGGTGGAATTTGATTCACCCTACACGCCCTTTCGGACGTTGACAGAAAACACGTCAGGAATGTTGGTCAATCAGAAACCACTGAGTGGACATCTGCTTCCAAAGCATGATAAATGTATTATATCTCACGACGCACCTGATTTTTACGGTCATACATCAACACTGTAATCAGTACGGCAACCGAAGCACGCGACCCAAAAAACTGCCGGTGGCGGGTCCCGATCCCACGACACCGCCGGTCACAGGCCCACAACCCTCACCTGCCGGCTACTGACTGAATGCCGTGCACGCTGTCGCGCATCTCGCGCCGGTCAGCTGACGAGGGTGGCGAGTCGGGCGACCTGCTGATCCGGATCGGAGGCAGGCGGAGGGGCGAGGCGGCGGAGCTGGGCACAGAGCTGTGGCCGGCCCGCGCGCGCCGTCAGAGCGGCGCCGGACAGCGGAACAGCGACGCCGAGGGGTGGGGAGGGGCGCCCTAGGCCGGACAGCGGGCGGGCGGCGGAGCTCGCGCGGCAAAAGCGGCGAAAACGTGAGCAAGCACAGCAGACAAGGACTCGTAAAGGTAGAAACTGAATGGGTGAGCGAAAATCGAAGCCAGGAACACAACCAGCTAACGTGCAGAGCGGTTGTTGTAACATACCGGTGGGTTTGTATAACATGAAAATTTGCGGAAAAAGTTTTATGGAGCAAAACAGGAGCATAGGACTTTACCGCCAAAACAGGCAAGTCGGCGAAGAAGAATTAAGAGATGGATGAGGAATGTGTTGACACGTGGAAAAATTAACTTTCACGAGACAAGCTGTCGAACACTGGCACAACAGAGAATTCTGACGACAGAATGAAGCATTAGCGGGTGCATAATCGCAATGCAACCCACACTCTGTATGTATTGCAGCAACGACGAGGTGGCTTATTGTCACTGCTCGTTAGCGCCATTTTCTTATCATAATAGCTTCGGTTTTCAGCCGATTTCAGTCGCAGACCTAGCTCCAAAAGACCCTCGTTTTTTAATAGCTAATGCCATTTAGCCCTTTTTCTATCACACCGTGTAACTTGGTTTGATTGGGCCGGATATGAAGTCTGATTCTCTCTCAGTTGCACAACGTCTCAGCTTTTAATCAAAAGCCAAATTACTGCGAAATCCTTGGAAAATTCGACACGAGACATAGTTGGAAAGATTTTGGGGCCATAGCAGGACTACCTTTTTCACACAGTCTAATCAGGAAAGGCTCCAAGTGTACGCACTCGTCTAGAAAGAGGGCGAAATAGCTGTAACTGCATACTGTGGTACATAATTTAAAACAAACCAGCCTTCTGTGCCGCCATGTTTGAGCCGATGCCAACCGAGGCTTGCGTGGGGTCACGCCAGAGGACAGGGGCATGTGGTCGCTTCCAAACATGGTGTGTGAGCTGTTCCACGACAGGCGTGTAGGAGGAGCCGGAAGCCATCAGCAGTCACCCACTCAAGCCACAGGATTGAGTAGCATTTCGTCATTTTAAAACATCCCGATCCCGGTCATTATCCCATAAAACATCCCGGTCATTATCGATGAAGGGGACGTCTCTTCTGGCGCGAGTGCGCCCCTGCTGATAAAGCTGACGTCAGTCTGTGACGTAATTTTCCAACCCATCGCACTAGCTGTTTTGACCTCCGTTGATTTTGACAGCTGAAAATCAATCATGGAGCCCAGATATCAGGTGCTCATCAGATGATGAGAGCATTTTCCAGTCAACCAATATATATAAGATATCTTTATGGACAAGGCACCAATGGCAATGACCTGCATCAGAGGTATACATGTCGATTTAGCAGCAAGTTATATGACAGGGCATCAACGTAAAATAGTTTACGTTGACCGGTTGTACTGCAGGCTGAAAATGACCTTTAAATCGTAAGGCCAAGGCCGCGGCAGATTTCAAGTCACAGAAAAACCGTAGCTCAACACCAATATCCCCGAGCAAACGGGACAGTAACGGAGGGGTAGGCCAACACGGACAGGACAAACACAAAGTGAATCTTACACCGCTCTGTCTGTGAGGCGGTTGCAGGCAAGGCTGTGACGTCAGAAACGCTTGTGGCCGATTGGTCAACGAATCGGCGGCCGGGCGGTGATTGGCTAAGCGTGGCCTTGAAATCAGAGCCGCGGCAGGACGGGTGACTGCTGATTGGCTCTTGGCGTCTGAGGTGGGCGAGGCAGGGGCGCTTCGCGAGGAGCTGGACTGGATCCGTGGGAGCTGAGGATTGGCAGAGCTGCAAGACCGCGCAAAACACCCGTCAACGTTCTGCAACCAGCTGAGAGACCTGAGTTTTGAGGAGTAAAGGACAGTTACCAAAAGTGCACCTATGGAGCGTCCATTAATTACGTTACGCATGTAGAGAGGGGGCTTTGATGGAGCATAAGCGATAGGTAACAAGCGGTTGACGTCATGGATAGTGTACCGTTCATGGCCAGACGTTGATGAGATTATTATCCTGACATCTTTTTTAAATGTTCTCAAAAGCTTTTCAGCCGGGTACTGCTAGCTTTCGCATTGCAAGAAATGCGCTCTTATCTTTTTATCACCTCTAGCTCGAGCAGGGGCCAAGCGAACGTGACATTGCTTGTTTAAACACTGCGTAACCAGTGCGTAACCAGACGAAGGGGTTGAAGATTGAAAGGCGTCATACACAGACCTGCTTGAAGTTAATATAACGTTATATTTGTCAATTTAGAGCGTATCTGAATGCAGCATCCCGAAAATTGATTAAATCTGGACTTAGTGTCGGTACGTGTACATCACTTCTTGCTTCTGCTGTTCAGGCGGAGCGAGCATTCCCTTAGGAGAGCGATACAATCCGCCAAAGACTACTTTTAGAGTACCCACCTTTTAGAGTACCCATCGTTTCACTTGTTACTGTGCAATTTTGCCAGTTCAAGATGGTCGTGAACAGGGAAAGGGTCCTTCTTCGAAAGATATTATGCTGTGGGCTGCTGTCCCAGTGCGTGAGCGAGCACGCAAAATGCAACAACGCATTCTACTTAACCACCTACGTGTAAGCGATCCTACATCTTCGCAACAAACTTCGCGAAACAGTCCGCCGTAAGGCCGAGCGCGTTGTAAGATTCCCGCAGGTGCTGTCGTAAGAGCGGCCTTTGCGACACCAGACTGCACTCATCTGCATGACGACGCTCACCTGTTCGGACTGCGCAGGCTTAGCGGCGTCTGCGGCCGCTTGTTGTCAAAGTCCACGCTGCTCCTTCGCCCCAGGTGCTGGAACAGCTTCTCGTCCCTGAGGGCGGCGCACACCGCTGTCGCTGCGCATCTAAGTGTCATCGCTCCGTGTCATGTGACGCTTGTCAGGCATCGATGTCACCTAGATGGGGGCCTGCCATCCGGACAGCATGCAGAGTAGATATGATGCAGTCGGTAGGCCACCACATACGTCATTTCATCGAAACCTAGCGCTGTCAATTCCCACCGGAGCACACACAAGCCAACGCCTAAACGGCACGGAGCGGCAGCGACGCGACGCGCGGTTCCCAGTGAAGTCACTGACCGGTCGGTGCCGATCGGCGGCAGCACGCCCGCCGTCCTGGTTGACGCTGCTCATCATGGAGAGCGTGGATGGCGACTGCGGGCAGGCGGCATGCACGTGTGAGGGGACGTTCCGGAGGCGGTCACCACAGTGTATTAGGAACACCCAAAGGCGACAGCCGTGTCAGGGGGCGCCCGGGGGCGGCGGTCACCGCAGCTGTGGTCAGGGGCATCTGGAGGCGGTCATCACAGCCGTGTCAGGGGCACCCGGAGGCGGTCACCGCAGCCGTGTCAGGGGGCACCCGAGGCGGTCATCACAGCCGTGTCAGGGGCATCCGGAGGCGGTCACCTACCAGCCGTGTCAGGGGATGCCCGGAGGCGACGGCTGTGTCAGGGGCATCCGGAGGCGGTCATCACAGCCGTGTCAGGGGCGCCCTGAGGCGGTCACCACAGCCGTGTCAGGGACGCCCTGAGGCGGTCACCACAGCCGTGTCAGGGGCGCCCTGAGGCGGTCACCACCAGCCGTGTCAGGGGCGCCCTGAGGCGGTCAACCACAGCTGTGTCAGGGGCGCCCTGAGGCGGTCACCACAGCTGTGTCAGGGGCGCCCTGAGGCGGTCACCACAGCCGTGTCAGGGGCGCCCTGAGGCGGTCACCACAGCTGTGTCAGGGGCGCCCTGAGGCGGTCACCACAGCCGTGTCAGGGGCACCCTGAGGCGGTCACCACAGCTGTGTCAGGGGCACCCTGAGGCGGTCACCACAGCCGTGTCAGGGGCGCCCTGAGGCGGTCATCACAGCCGTGTCAGGGGCATCCGGAGGCGGTCACCGCAGCCGTGTCAGGGACGCCCTGAGGCGGTCACCACAGCTGTGTCAGGGGCATCCGGAGGAGGTCACCGCAGCCGTGTCAGGGACGCCCTGAGGCGGTCACCACAGCTGTGTCAGGGGCACCCTGAGGCGGTCACCACAGCCGTGTCAGGGGCGCCCTGAGGCGGTCATCACAGCTGTGTCAGGGGCATCCGGAGGCGGTCACCGCAGCCGTGTCAGGGACGCCCTGAGGCGGTCACCACAGCTGTGTCAGGGACGCCCTGAGGCGGTCACCACAGCTGTGTCAGGGGCATCCGGAGGAGGTCACCGCAGCCGTGTCAGGGACGCCCTGAGGCGGTCACCACAGCCGTGTCAGGGGCATCCGGAGGCGGTCACCGCAGCCGTGTCAGGGATACCCGGAGGCGACAGCTGTGTCAGGGGCATCCGGAGGCGGTCATCACAGCCGTGTCAGGGGCGCCCTGAGGCGGTCACCACAGCTGTGTCAGGGGCGCCCTGAGGCGGGTCACCACAGCTGTGTCAGGGGCGCCCTGAGGCGGTCACCACAGCTGTGTCAGGGGCGCCCTGAGGCGGTCACCACAGCCGTGTCAGGGACGCCGGAGGCGGTCACCACAGCTGTGTCAGGGGCACCCTGAGGCGGTCACCACAGCTGTGTCAGGGGCACCCTGAGGCGGTCACCACAGCCGTGTCAGGGACGCCCGGAGGCGGTCACCACAGCCGTGTCAGGGGGCACCCTGAGGCGGTCACCACAGCTGTGTCAGGGGCACCCTGAGGCGGTCACCACAGCCGTGTCAGGGGCGCCCTGAGGCGGTCACCACAGCTGTGTCAAGGGGCGCCCTGAGGCGGTCACCACAGCCGTGTCAGGGGCGCCCTGAGGCGGTCACCACAGCTGTGTCAGGGGCGCCCTGAGGCGGTCACCACAGCCGTGTCAGGGGCACCCTGAGGCGGTCACCACAGCTGTGTCAGGGGCACCCTGAGGCGGTCACCACAGCCGTGTCAGGGGCATCCGGAGGAGGTCACCGCAGCCGTGTCAGGGACGCCCTGAGGCGGTCACCACAGCCGTGTCAGGGGCATCCGGAGGCGGTCACCACAGCTGTGTCAGGGGCGCCCTGAGGCGGTCATCACAGCCGTGTCAGGGGCGCCCTGAGGCGGTCACCACAGCCGTGTCAGGGGCACCCGGAGGAGGTCACCGCAGCCGTGTCAGGGACGCCCTGAGGCGGTCACCACAGCTGTGTCAGGGGCATCCGGAGGCGGTCATCACAGCCGTGTCAGGGGCGCCCTGAGGCGGTCATCACAGCTGTGTCAGGGGCGCCCTGAGGCGGTCACCACAGCCGTGTCAGGGGCGCCCTGAGGCGGTCATCACAGCCGTGTCAGGGGCATCCGGAGGCGGTCACCACAGCCGTATCAGGAAAACCCAAAGGCGACAGCCGTGTCAGGGGCGCCTGGAGGCGACAGCCGTGTCAGGGACGCCCGGAGGCGACAGCCGTGTCAGGAGCGTCCGGAGGCGACAGCCGTGTCAGGGGCGCCCGGAGGCGACAGCCGTGTCAGGGGCGCCCGGAGGCGACAGCCGTGTCAGGGACGCACGGAGACGACAGCCGTGTCAGGGGCGCCCGGAGGCGGTCATCGCAGTCGCAGAGCGCAGCAAATATACAACGCCGAGTTACATACACAGACAGACAGACGAATAGGCGTCCAGGCACAAGGCTGATAAGCAGCGTGAACACGTCATAGGTCAAGCACTGGTACCCATGCGTTACGATGCCGAGTCACATCCGTGGAAAAGGGATTGTCAAATGTCTACATCTTGGACAGTTTTCCTCTCTGGTGTTTCTAAATCACAATGTTGGCAACACATCTCTTTACGTTCAGTTTCACGTTCATTTATATTACTCAGCTTATTACACTTATTCACACATAAGCTCTGCTCCGGACCACTGCTTCGCATTATATCTGCATCATGGAACTTCAATACCAAGAATTCACACGGGAGGCCTCGACCCTGCATGAACACCTACCAAAACGCTTCCACTCATCGGGCAAAGTCATGCATACTGCTAGAGACGCTGCGTGTATCAGCTCGTTTCTTTGGAGGCCTGCCCTTACGACCTCATCCCTGATGGACCTACGAGCATCATGCTACTTCTGAAGAGCACACCCGTGTGATTCATGCCTTTTCTTCCAAAGTTACTCACACAATTGTCCGTAACTTCGGCGATGTGGTTCGACGCCTCGCTACGCATAACCAGTGCACTGAGGCTGCCCGTACCGCATCCCCGTACCCGAGTACTCACAGCGTACCCGAGTACTCACACTTCCTGGCAACTTTGCCCGTTTGCTAAACGTGGGGTGTAACATCGTGCTGGTGGATCCTTATCGTGTCATGCAGGTGCATGACACGGCCGCTCGTGGTAAAGGTGCTGGCAGGAAGGAGTGAGTCATCACGCGTGGAGAGACGAGTCATCAGGCGTGGACAAGTGAGTCATCAGGTGTGGATAGGTAAGTCATCAGGCGTGGAGAGATGAGTCATCAGGCGTTGATAGATGAGTCATCAGGCGTGGAGAGATGAGTCATCAGGCGTGGAGGGTGAGTCATCAGGCGCTACTCGCGTCAGGTGAGTGGGGGTCGAGCACCAGCGAGGGTATCTCTCAGTCCGGCGGCGACTGTCACTCGCTCCGGCACAACCCGGACAACCAACCACCACAGCGCCGGGGCTCGTTCTGATGACCCAAGGCGACCCCGTGACCTCTCTGAGTGACCGCTGGCGACCTACCCGCATGACCTCGTTCAGTCCGTTGAGAAAGCGCTGATCCCTCTGCGCGCTGGGTCCCTGCAGCTCCTGCTGGTAGAGCGAGTACATCTTCTGCAGCTCCGGAGGCATGTCGCCGCCATTCGGGCTCCGGCCCGACTCAATATCTGGCGGCATAGGAGAGAGCATCATCCAATAATGGATCATATTGTCCTGTGTCTGCATGCAGCCGGTTACCACTACAAGATAATTGTCTATCTGTGTATCTAACTAATAATTTGTGATAATTGATAATTATCACTTCTGCTATTGTTTCGAGAACGGCATGTTGCCAAAATATCAAGCCCAACTATATCTCTATTCTCCTGGTTTTTCCCAGGAATAAGGGTAATACTATTGTCTTGTCTATAAGATAATTGTCGTCTGCTCGGCCTCCGCTGGTCGCACGCAGCTGCTGTTGCTATTGAGACTGCATCAAGCCCTGCTGTCGGCAGATGACCCCGTCAGTTCTGTTTGACCTTAACTGACCTTGCACGAAGCATTGCTGTTGGCTAACGCTCTGGGAATAAACATTTCACCCTCGTTGACTTTTCATGAAGTCCTTCTGTTGCTCAATGATCTGGTCACAATGGTTTGACCTTCGCTGACCTTGAATGAAGTCCCGACGTCGGACAATGCTCGTGACACATGGTTGGCGTTCGCTGACCTTGCATGAAGTCCCGCTGCTGGATAATGGTCTGGCATCACAAGTTTGACCTTTGCTGACTTTAAATGAAGTCGCGTTGTTGGCTCTGGTAACACAAGTTTGACCTTTGCTGACCTTGTATGAAGTCCCGCTGTCGGCTGATGATCTCGTCACACAGCGCCCTCTGTCGGTCGTAGCGCAGGATCATGAGGTCCCGCCGCCGCAGCTCGTGGTCCTTGATCAGCTGATTGCTGCGGATTTCCATCTGCGGCAGAATATGACGCCTTGAGACCACAGCGGAGGCGATGGCGACGCAGGCGCTGATTTTAGAAGGAACACCGGCGTTAATCAAACATCAAAAAAGCGTGCGTAATGTAATATATCGCAATAATGGTGTCAGGAAAATTAAACTGTATAAGAAATGGAAATAATTGTTCACTCAAACTCCGTTATTCGACTCTAGAGACGACTGAATTTTTAAAATGTTTTTGTCGTGCCCGTTGCGATGCGGTGAAGGTCTCCAGACATTCCTCCTAAAACCAGAGACGGCCCGACGTTATCATCTGACGCCGGCGACGGTAACTGATCCTAGTACGGGACACACCAGAGATGTGCTACTTCCTAAAGCGCACTACTGGCCTCGCACCAGAATTAGCGTATGTATATAAATATGTATGCGTATATACACCTGCAGCACCTGTAGCAGAGTCTATATACATATGTAGGTATATATATATATATATATATATATATATATATATATATATATATATATATATATATATATATATATAATATGCTTGGCTTTGGTTGTCACCGGCATAAGTTGCGGATGCCGACACGCGTACTACCGGCCAACGTGTCTTTTCGCCACCAAAGTCCCTGCATACCCAACCAAAGCAGCACACCAGGCACAGCGTGAAGATACCGTGCTATGAATGTTGCCTTCCTGGTGCACAGACACTCTGTTATTCACCGATGCCATGGAAACCGATGGTCACTCGTTCAATGCGGCGTCAGGCGAGCGCCCGCCAGTTTTATGTCGTCACGAAGAACATTGCTGTCACGTGATCTCGCGTGACCGGCTATCTGTTGTTTTTGCTAAAGTACACCGCACGCGGTGTATTGGAGGCCGAACCAACTGACGTGTAATGAATGTATGTACATGTGAGCCTCTTCAGGCAAACCAGGAGTGACTGATCTTTCCAAATAATCAACTGGTAAATCTAACTGGCTCAGGCACGTTTCCGAAGCGTTTAGGTGATTTGTTGAAATCTTTCGAGCGTAGAAATGCACGCGTTTGTGCCAGATCAATGGACATGCGATAAATTTTTCAGGAACATCCTGAAACAAGCATTTCTGGAATATGTCGTAAATACACCTTGGCTGCACGTAATCGCAGCCACACAGCCAAGACGAGGTCAATGTGACCGATGAAACCCAACGCCACGCCATCAATGAATATATCATCGTATTGAGTTGGGAATGGGGAAGCTCGAGACCCTCAACCTGTGCCTTGTATCTCCCAAACTCACAGGGGAGCATCCCAGACTTGTAGGAGGACTCTCGCACGACAGGTCCTCCTCCGTTAAGAAAGCACGCCCATGCGAAATTGTGAGCACCGCAAACAGTAAATACAATCAAAAGAAATGCAAATTTAACATGCAAAGCTCACTTTCCAATTGCTAACTACCCATCTTATCCTGCATGATACTTAAGTTGCCAAGTACAAATGGAAGCATGTGACTTATAGCCGACCTTTAAATTTGCTCGGGACGCGACACAGAATGCCTCAAATCCGGGGCGGAATCAGCATCTGTGGATACCACAATCAGCTCAATCTCGGGCAGAGCCCCCAACTGTTCTCGCGAGACCACACCTCTGACACCAGCCCACATGCCCAGCCATTGCACAGCGTCGGGCGTCTGCCTGCTCACCAGTAGCGCTTCTCCTTACAACTGCATCCGTCCTGATAGCTCAGTTGGTCAGAGCGCTCGGCTCTGACGGGCCCAGCTATGACAGCGCGGGTTCGAATGGCTCCAGGCACTCGCTATTTGCTCCTGGCGGGATGGTTGTGGCCAGTGGCAGTAGCCGCGCTAAGGTTCAGGTGACGTCACAGGGCAGGATGGGCCGTGCCAAGCATCGCGGCACGGTAAGCATTCGCCACAAAGTTCTGCCGTTGACCTGGAATTTCACGATCGGATCGTGAAAATAGGACTCACGCTCAAAGACTGCTGAAGGTCGGCATGGGTCCCAGAAATTCATCCAATCAAAAGGGTTTTGATTAAATCGTTAACTTAAAACTGTCTAAAAGTAGCATTAGCTCGCCTGTCCGGCTGCGTTTATCGCCCATCGTCGGCTTGAGAACCAATGACACTGCCCCGGACCACGCTATCCCGTCTAATCAGTGGCGCAGCCAAGATTTCGCTCAAAAAGGACCAAACCAGATCGTAGGCGGTCCTTCCAGCCAGGAGGCTCGTCTTCGTCCATGGATGACCGCGTTTTTTTACTTGGAAGCTCTTCCGGTCGGGATGATGTTTTCAGGCCTCGGGGTGTTGTCCCGGCCTTGGCGCCGGGATGTTGTTTATTTTAGGAGCCCCACGGGATGCCACTCAGCCAAAAAACGGCAGAACCTTCAGCCACGAGGCTCTCCATGCCTCCAGGGGTATGGCCTCCAAATCCTCCTCCCCCCCCGACCCCCTCTGCCTCAGGTACGCCACTAGCTGCGACACACAGCGTGGTGTCGACAAGCGAACTTGTGACGTCACGCCGTTTGGCGCCATCCAGTGGTCGGTTCAGTGGTTCCGTGGAAAAGTACCTGACTGGCGCCCGGCGCGTGGCGACCGCAGGTAACTAGACGTCCCGCAGCGCAAGCATCCAACTCGAAACAGGCTTACCCAGCTCACATGGGCTTGTGAAGGATGGCTTGCCTGATCGTCGAAAATCTGACCGACTCTACGACCTCAGGTCACTGAGGAACATACATTTGGACGTCTCTGTCGGTAGGCCTCCACTCTTCAGGCCTTTGACCGCAGCGATGCTCATTTCACAGCGGCGAGGCGACGCTGGCTGGCAGGGAGCTGGTAGCTCTTCGACAGTTCATCGTTGAGGACCCAAGGCCCTGACTCCGTCAGTGTGCATCGAGAGCTCTGAGTTCCCGTTAGTGTGGACCTAGAGCTCTGAGTGTCCGTCAGTATGGACCTAAAGCTCTGACTGCCAGCCAGTGTGGACCTAGAGCTCTGAGTGTCCGCCAGCATGGACCTAAAGCTCTGACTGCCGGTCATTGTGGGTTTAGGGCTCTGACTGTCCGTCAGTATGGACCTAAAGTTCTGAGTGCCCGTCAGTGTGGACCAAGAGTTCTGAGTGCCCGTCAGTGTGGACCAAGAGCTCCGAGTGCCCGTCAGTGTGGACCAAGAGCGCTGACTGCCCGTCAAAGAGGACCTGGAACTCTGGCTTCCCGCCGTTGTGAACCTAGAGCTCTGGCAGTCCGTCAGTGCAGACCGATAGAGCACACTGTCCATCTTTCTGGACCTGGGCTCTGACTGCCCGTCGGTGTGGACCTTCAGTCCGGACTGTCGGACTGCGCTGACCTAGGACCCTGCCCTCCGTCGGTGCGAACACATGGACGCCCCTCAATGTATAACTAGAGCACTGCTTGTCTGCCATTGGGAGCCTAGTGCCCCGACTGCCCGTCATGCTGTGGGGACATAACATCGCGGCGCTAGCCGTGCAAGCCTGAAAGGTCACAATTTCATTGATCATGCCGACAGTGTACGAGGTCCCGGTCTTTTACAGCCCCTGGGATGGTCCTATACACGGCTGCCGCTGGCGCTGGCGCTTCGGATAAGTGGAGGCTAGGGACAAGCAAAGCAGAAGCGAAATGCGAAACACCGAATCGCATAGGGCGTCCAGCGATGTGCATCAGAATGAACTATTTTTTCACGCTTGATAATCGACGTGGGTGGGTGTTGGTGCCAGCGCAAAAATAAACCCTTCAATGGTTCTGTGTTTAATGCATGGAATCCTTGAGTGATCCCTAAAGTTCGTGTGGCGTTCATCAGCACACCGGCCATGTCTCGCGTTGAGGTTTTTCGCGTATACCTGCAGCGTGTGTTCAGTGGGCATGCCTCGTGAGTTCGATTCCTGCCAAGAGCGCCACATTGAACAGACGTTCAAACGCCGATTTGTGTTTGGTACGCGGCGACGGCGCCGAGTCCGAAGCTGAGCCCCTCACAGCATTACCACTCATCTATGTGTAGCAGACAGAGTCACTTAAGTGACGGCGTTCTTGGCCTCGAGTGGCCGCAGACTGTACCATTACCTCATCGGCCTCCCTCGCCCCAATTTAGGGGAAAACTTAACGCTGTCGGCTGTGACATGACGCTGAATAACGAGAATAGCTCATGGATTGCCTGATTACTGTGTTATCAAAAGGCGGGGTTTAATTTAGTCAGCAGGCTGGAATACTTGTGTGATACGCAGATTGGTGAGGTTTTGACGCATGAGGCTAAATCAAGCACGAATTCTGATTTCGATACTACGGGGAAATATCTCTCTTGCGACCGAATAAACGACTTGAGAACCCTCCTAAAATGATGAAGAATCTGTTGATCTTTTTTTGTACCGCGCCAGCCGTCGAGATCCAGTTAGCAGCACAAACCGCTGGTCAGTTCAGGTCGCTGAGCCATTACCTGCTGGTCAGTTAAGGTCGCTGAGCCATTACCTGCTGGTCAGTTCAGGTCGCTGAGCCATTACCGGCTGGTGACACCATTAGCCCATTCACTTGACGCAGACTGGAATGACTGAGGTCATTACCATTCGTAAACCCTCGCGACGATTCCATTGACATTTATTCCGTGACCTGTGCAGTGCATGGCAGGTATAAAGCGTGCGACCTCGAGTGCTGTGACCGCGGTATTATTCACCAGGCTGTGGGAAAATTCGTGATTGTGCATGGTGCATGGCCGCTGGTGCAACGTGATGCGCGGCTGCTGGCGCCGGGGCTGAATATCCTAGGCGGCCTGGCTCTCCTCAGACAACAATAGCAGTACATGTGTAATGCATAACAGCTTTGTGGCAGCCCCTACAGATTCTGGGCCCCTGTTCCGTACGGAAACATTCAGAGTCGTGATCGGTAGTGACGTAAAAACTAAAACATGCAACAGCGCTCTAAAGAACTGTGTGTGCACCCGTCCAGGTTCTGGGCCCCTGTTCCGTACGGAAACATTCAGCGTCGTGATCGGTAGTGACGTAAAAACTAAAGCA